GGGAAGGATAAGGAGATGGGAGATGGGCCTATGAACAGAACAGAGGCAACGATCTGAGAAGGAAAGTTAATTTACTAAATGATATCGGAATGCAAAATAGTACAGTGTAATTGGAACTGGGGCTAATACATCAAGTAAAATGAGACAGACAGAGAGAGTGTGTCCAAAACCAAAAGCCTCATTCTGAACTAAAGGCAAAACAGCTGGGGAGCATTCCTACACACTGCCAGGCAGCAAGAGAAAGTCCCGTGACTTGCAGATCTTATCATCCTCTCTGAACTCAAAGTCCTTGGGGGTATGTACCTCTTCTTCTCTTTTGAAAGCCAGGTATCTGGAAAGTTGTCACTCCACAGAACTGGAGTATTAACTGTTTAATTTCTTGAACTTTACATGATGTTATGATGTGGAATAGCAAAAATCACAAAACCATGACATGTTCCCAGCCGGGTCCCCTGCAGATAATCCCATTTTTCTTCCGGGGCAATGTTCTGAGTTTTGAAGGTTCAGTACGTCAGCTCTATCATTTAGAGCAGACATATGTATCCCTGAATTCCTAGAGAAAAACTGCAACACCACTACTTTCCCTTGTATCCAGCAGTGTTTTTCTTAGAACTGTTGTCAATAAGTTGTGAAGTGGTGAGGAAGTAGCTAAAAAAAACCCATATCTATACAGATACTCTTTCTATGCTGCTACTTTTGACTGGGGATTGAGAACACAATAAGTCCTTAGTTTTGGAAATGTTGGACAGAATTTCACTTGTGCTAGAGGTCTAGGGATCTTCACTCAGTCTCATTACTGGGAACATGTGCAGTTCAGCTAAGATGCAGACACCTACAGTTGCTTTATCCTATTTCTGTAATTTATATATTCAGAAATGTCATCAGGCTATTTCATCTGCTTAGAGTGCATGTTGTTTTTCTGTTGAAAACGTTGAATTTCAATCAATAGCATGAAATTGATGGTGGGTTTTTCTGTTTGTTTGTTTGTTTTTGTGGTTGTTGTCTTTGTATTTGATTTGAAAAGTGATAACATTTCTAGGAACTGTAAACTTTTTGTTTAGTCAAAACTCAAACATTAAGAAAGGTTTTATTGATATTTCTGTCAGCATGCGAGAACTAGTTCTCATTACACTGAGGATGGGTGCAAATATTTGAATTTTCCATAATGTAGATGTGAAACAATATCTTGTACCAAAAACATGGTGAGATTGGATTTTTTTGGACAGATATCTCTATAGTAGGAGATTTGTAGACAGAAAGGAGACTGTCACTATTTTAGTACTTGTCTCACAGTGTTTCATAAGGCCTCAGTCTTGCTCTCTATAGGGATAGTGTTATTCTCTCCTGAGTGATGCAGGCAAAGAGGATGGATACAGGGCAGCTTGCCCTGGGTCACACTGGACAGCACAGGTCACACGACTAGCACTGCACTATGATTTCTGCAATGTGTCAGGCACTCATTAAATTTCTCTCTTGTGTACATAGAACAAGATGTCAACTGAGGTGCAAAACCACAGTCACCACCTGTTGTCATGTTAAACTGTGTTAAAATGCCTTCTTAATGTTAATATACACCTATCTAGTGCAGACAGAACCTATTCCCAACATCTTTGGGCATTTTTGTCACAAGTAGCAGAAAAACTGGTGTTATTTGCTGACATTTCTGGAGGTGCTCGTTGCAGGTTCTGCCAAGCCTGTCAGTGCTGTTCTTGTGAAACACAGTGGCTGACATACACCTCAGTTCAGAAATGTTGTCAAGAGGAATTAATTTGTCAGCATGGTTCAGCTCTAACAAATTGCTAATGGATTTTGTGCATGTGTTATCTCAAGCTACAATACTGCTGTTTTTGTGTGCAAGTACTTCCGGAAAATTCTGCTGTTACAGCTAATATTTCTATGCTGTACATACGATTGGGAAGAAAACTCTTTTCTGATTTTCAGTGGTTTGCTTTTCTTTTGTTCCAGCGACACAAGGCCCCAGATCCTCATTTCCAAAATGATTTCTGTTCTTCAGTTGTTTCATTGCCTGTAAGAGCAATAGTTAATTCTATTTTGCACACCTAGTCCTGCACCCTAGGACAGAAAATGAAGGATGCTTAGGAAAGGGCATGAGAAACAGGTCATGCATAGATCCTTCCCCGTTAACTTCTCAGCTTTCAGTTTATGTTCTAAACAGAGAACTCAAACAATGACTGGAAGGAGAATTCATCACCTTCAGATTTTTACAGGCAATGACAAAATAAGGAATAAGCAAACAAGCAGCTTCACCCAGACATCCAAACCAGTAACTAATGCCATTTAATTTTAGTCTTACAAAGAAGGTAATAATTTACAGCTATAAAAGTATTTTATACTTTTATAATATTTTACTATAAAGTAAATATTTCTGTTGGAGAGTATCTGGCATTCATAGAGAAAAGTCAAGAATTGTGCTTAAAATCTCTCGTGATTGCACTTGTACTAGACAACTTGGACTATTCACTATTTAATTCCCTATTCTAACTGGGATCAGAGCATTTACTTAAACATCAGAGATAGTTCATAAGCAAGAACTATGTCATTCTCATGAAATCAGCAGATGCAGGGCTGTACGAAACAGATCTAGTTTTATTCAAATGACCTAAATTTGCATCATGGGATCATTAAATATTAAGAACATGGGTACTGCAAATCATAGGTTATCATGCGTAGAGTTTTCTGGGCAATACAAATGGTAATTAAGCGAGGTTAATATGTAAGATTTTATGAAAAATGGCAATACTTTTATAGCTGTAAATTATTAATTCCTATACTATTTATGGTAATATTTTTAATCATAATTAACCTATTTAGTATTAATGAGGATGTAATATGTGAGATGAAAGTCCTATTAATTTTGTCGTTAAAAAGACATTCAATTTCTATGCTGCAGCATCAGAACGTGGACATTATCATATCATAAGAGCAATAGACGTGGAGGGAATACTATTTCAGCAGACCATAGTAAGAACAAAAATCTTTCCCTTTCAAACCTCTGAGCCCTTTTTAGCCTCTATCTTACTTCTTGTTTCAGGGGATCTTTAACTTGTGGAAGCAAAACCCGCATTTTCTTGATAACAATGGCTTATGTTACACTACGTGTTATTCAGTAGAACCTAAGGCAAAAGCTGAGCACTGATTTTTTTTTTTTCAGTAGAAATCCCTAGTGCCAAAGATGAGGATATTTACTGAAAAATTGATTGCTTGACCTGCACCTTGATTTGACTCAGACCTGCACACCTCACAGTTTCTGCATTACAGTACAAAGATGCATTGATGTTTTTTCTTTCAATGAACTAACTTCTCCCTTGATAGATATTTGAAAATGAAGAATATATACAACACATTTCCAAAAATAACTGATATTCCTGCCTGGCTACATCATAAATCTGATGTTAGGAATAGGTGAGAATCATGAGCTCCTATGCATTCACTATAAGGCAGTATTGGCCATGCTATTGAGAATTGTGGCCTGAGGTCCTTTCGTTCTGAAGTCCATTCTTCACATTCTCTTTGAAACTTCTAAGCACCCTCTTAATAGGTGTCTTCTGTTTTTTTTTAGTTTCCTGCAGGTGAGTTTTCAATCATCGTTTTACCTTCCCATTTATAACTGAAACCTAAACCTGTGTCCAGAGGCATAAGACTTTACTGAATTGCTTTAGAACCACAATCTACTTCCTAATTATTGCTTCCCAGAACTGGCCTTTTTTTCAAAGAACAGAGATGACTTACTCATCAGGCTTTGATAAGTTATGTCATTCCGGTTATTCATAATTTGTTCTTACCAAAGGAACACTTGTATTCAAAAGAAAAAAATGTGTTTTGGAATTCAAAATTATTGAAGATTCATCCTAGGCAAGCTCTGTTCAATATCAGTGCAGCTACAGAAGAATTTTTCTTTTTTGCTTCTTAGGTTAATGAAAATGGAGGAAAGGATTTTTTTCGTAGGTAAAACTGCTCATTCTTAATAGGTAATGCTACAGAAGTAATTTATTCATATCTGTTATAAAATATTCCTGAAATAAGTTTTAGAATATTAATTTTCCCATGACTAATACTAAATGAATACTTGAGATTCTCAATTTAGTGTCTCACCAATCTAACATAGAATTTCTCTATTACAATACCAATCTTTTAAGTAAGTTAGGTTTATTCTTTTCTTTTTTTTTCCTATTATATAAACAATTTCAAATAGATGTGCGTTAAAATATCAGTTATTTACGTAATGCTAAAACAGTTTTGGGATTTTTTAATCAAGTGGAGGCAAAAAGTTGCAACATTGATGTGCTATTTATCTACGTATCTCTCTTGTATACACACAAATTTATTTTGAGTCTATGACTCTCTTTATATAATGAGAGATGAAAGAGTTTAAGATGAAAAGAGAGTGTATAAACAGGAGGGGGAAAGACTGTTTACGTGGGTGGATAGCAATAGGACAAGAAGAAATGGTTTTAAACTGAGGCAAGCGAGGTTTAGGTTAGTTATTAGGAGGAAGTTTTTCACACAGAGGGTGGTGACGCACTGGAACAGATTGCCCAAGGAGGTTGTGGATGCCCCATCCCTGGAGATATTCAAGACCAGGCTGAATGTGGCTCAGTGCAGGGTTGGTGACAGGGGGATTGAAACTAAATGATCTTTGAGGTCCTTTTCAACCCAGGCCCTTCTATGATTCTATGAAATGTAACAAGAATTGCTGTTGTATTTTGGAACAAGTGAATATCTATTAAAACTATTTCTTTTTTTTTTCTTTCTTTCTTTCTCCTTTCTTCTTTCTTCCTTTCTTTATACTTCCTTTCTTTTTTTCTTGCCTCTTCTTTTTTTTCTTTTTTTTTCTTTTTTTTTCTTTTCTTTTTTTTTTTTTTTTGATAAATCTTTTGACAATTTCTTTTGTTTCCGAAGAAAAATGAAGTCCAAACATAAGCACTTATCTGGAACTGTGTCATCAAAGATTTTTTTTTTGTTTTATCCTGAAGGTTGGACACTCCTCTTTTCTAGTTATACCCTACGCATTTATCTCTGCTGATTTGGAAAAAAATGACAAGTAAACCTACCTGGAAATGGAACAGTTGGCTGAGCAAAGCCAAACCATGCTCCTGGAATGGGAATATTGCTGCAGTACAGCAATGTAAAGAAGTTCTCATATTTGAAGGCATATTAAGTGTAAGTAAATTTTTGTCTTAATTTTTAAATTTTTTTACTGCTACAACTCTTGAACAAAACAAGTAAGTTATTCCAGCCCCTTTCTATCCCATGCAATCACTTCAGAAATCACAAAGCTCCATATGAGCGCTGGCTAGTTCTCTTGCTCTTGTTGCTCCTGCTGGAAGGGGTTCAGTAACATCACCACCCACCTGCCAGGTTGCCTGAATTGCCCAAAGCAATGTGTTCAGGAGAGATTCAGAAAGCTGCAGAAGGACACCTAGGATTTTCTTAGCCTGTATTGTGTAGTGACATTTCAACAAAATTTTGAACCTACTCTGTTCTGCACACTCCAAGCACAGTATTTCTAAAACATGATCACCTTCCTAGGGTCCGCAGTTCTACATCATACTTCTACTGATTGTGTATGGGTCAAAATATTTATAAGTGTTTGTTGGTGTACGGAAGACTGCTCTAAGCTACTCATATAACTGCTATAGTGACACAGCAATTTTTCCCTCTGAAACTGAAGTTACATCTAACTGTTGCCTTCTTATGTTTGCTAGGCTCATGTAATGAATAGAATGAAAATGTTGATAAAAATAATTTAACAAAGGAAAGATGCTTTTTCTACCTATCTGTGAATGAATTTAGATTATTTCAACAGCATCAAGATGTCAAAGTCAGCAAAGATCAAGTCAGCAAAGCCTGACTGTCAAGATTTTGCATCCTCACAAAGTGATTCAGAGCATGTTATCTCCTCCTCTGCGAGATAAATGCTGAAGAAAAATATGATTTCTTTCCTTGCTTGATTTTGACTGTATGCAGATATGGTTAGAAAACTTTGCATCCTACATATTCAAGGGAAAAAACTTAGAGTATCCACTGAATATATTTCTATAGCCAAAATATTTTGTATGAGGCATTCTGTTGATGTTCTAAGCTTAAAAATCAGCATGGATGGGGTAACAAGGCTAATTAAATCTATTAATGTTCTTTTTCTGTGGACTGGGCTATTGCTTATGCAAGGGAATCAGATTAAAAAGGAGACATTCTTCCACCTTTTGCTGTCTGGGTTTGGGACTTTGGTCGTTGTGTATAGATATGTACAGGACCCCGAGCATTCCCTGGCATTTTTTTGCAGCCAGTATCTTCATCTCTAGGATCTTCTTTAAATTCTTTTCTGCAGGCACCTTCTGCACCTTCTTGTCTCCAAGATAAACTGCTCTCTTTGGGAACTTTTCTTTTTCACACCTGCTCTCCTTTCCAGAACCAAAGTCCCAGTTTTCCAGTCTGAACAGTCCCTCAGCAGAAGCGCAGTCTATGACATCTATGATATTGGTGACACTTTTCTTCAACTGGAGAGTAAAAAACATGACAGTTCTGTTTCATCAAGGTGTTATGAATATTTGCCATCAACCCATTACCCATAGCAGATAGAAAGCAATAGGCTGAAGAATTAAAAAAATCAGTTTCAGGCATTCATCCACACATGGGCCATAATCTGTTACCTTTAAGCATTCCCACTTGTTCTTCACCTAAAACATCTAATGACAATTATCTCAGTGCAATATTGTTTTATGCTGCTTTCTACTTTAGGATTTAATTTCCTTGTAAAGCCTAAAGTCAGCCATAGATACTATTTAATGACAAATAAAGAAGTCAAAGGAAGAGATTAAGAATCCCATTCCAGTGCCCTTTTTCCTCCATTTTTCTTTAAATTAAGAGTCAGAGTAAGACTGCCTGTGTATTCCTTGAACTGTACTTGATAAAGAATTATCTAGTTAAAACTTGCATCATTGTCATCTTTGAATATTTTATGGGTGACTCTAAAGCAAATGATATGAGTAACTTATTTATCAGGCTACACATGAAGACACAATTTGATTTGTTGACAAAAACTTTTTATCTCTCATGAATAATTCCTCTTCACAGTGAAGCAAAAGTTTTCATTTTAGAAACAGTTCATGCAACTCTGAAAGAAAATGTCTATATTTACCAGTTATTTACACTGTAAGATTATTTCTGAACATATAGAATAGTGTACTTAATAGCATGGGTACAGGTGATATTCGTATTGCACAGTAGCATTCTTCCTGTTCTTACCAGAATGATTTCAAAGAAAACTATTTGCTAAATCAAAATCCCATGATAATACAGTGGCAAACTGACTGCAGAAATAGAATAACATGCTACAGCAACAGATAACTAATGAGATAATATGGAGTTGAAAAGTCATCAACAGAAAAATAAATTCAACTACATCTCCACTATTGCATGTTTAATTTTAATGACAATGCATCACCATTTTACTTACCTGTGTAAAAAGTGCATTATGAATAATCTAAAAGGCACCCACAGCTAAAATTTTTTGAAGAGACAGTCCTACAGCTTATGTAAGATGTGTGCTAAGTGCACCCCATGGATCAGTGTCTCAGGAGCTAGAGTGAAAACAGACGCAGATGTTGAATACAGAAAAAGATGCACTGTGAGATAGGTGAGAGATGATATTTCTTGCACTTTTGCATGTGCACAAAAGTCAAGCATGGTACACTGAGAAATTATGAACAAGAAGCAAAGGAAAGGAGAATAATTGAATTTCTCCTGAGTTAGGAGTCAGCTAAACAGGTTTCAGCACATTTGTATACAGTGTTGTTACAAGATTTGTGTCAAACTGTGCATCTTAAAGAATCAAAATACTTTTATTTCTTTTTAGATCTGGTTATAATGAAAGGTCCCATTCTTTTATTTATTCCATAATAAAAGTATTTCTTTGACAGTTTTAAGAATTTTGTATGTAGGTCCAAATAAGAAAGGTGTTAATAGTAATACTGTATAATAGAATGCTATACAATTACAATACTAATTTTTACATGATAACGTACATTTAAAGATTATATCAAAGGACCCTGAAGACTAGGATTAAAAAGTTCTCTTCTCTATAAATGAGATTTCATTTTTGATGGTAATGGATAAGTTATTTACCACACACATTTGTTCTATGACAACAACTGCTTGTGTATTATTATTAGTGGTACATATTTCTGTTACTCTATGGCAACTACATGACTAAACTTACTTTGGTGAAGGGCGCATAGGAAAGAAGTTATCTATATATCATCAGATCTATGTCCAGAATTAATTTTAATTTAACAGTATTTTATTAGCAGAACCTCTTATTTAAACTTTCAAAGTTAGCAAATGAGCTCAGTTCCCTGATGAGTCCATGAAATGACAATCAAAATACATGAGAACTGTTGAGTTATTTCTGAATCATAACTTGTTAAACCATAAAGCTGACAGACCTGTATTACGACAGCAGCTATAATAACAATAAATTCAAGTCTCTGTAGTCTATTTCAGTTGGAGGATGTTAAAGAGCTTTGAATAAATAAAGTAAACTCAAGTAGAAAAATAAAAAACTACAATATCATGTTGAATATGTTCTGTTATGTTTCTACATTTAAAGAAATAAAGACATCTCATTTAAAGAGAAATAGAAATTTGGTAGTAAACCCAATAAGAATAAAATAAAAATGGCCTTTTTCTGAAAAAGCCTATTTTCATTATTGAAATGCTTTTTTATGGTACACTGTTACTGTTATCCAATTTCCCATTCTTGATTATTGAAACAATCATTGAAATGATAGCTCTTAATTCTTTGCTTAAATCTTTAAAATCTATTGATTTTTTAAAATAGCTTGTCGATGAAGTATTATGAAACTATATTAATTAAATTTTAGTTTTAAACAGTAAGTTCATAAATACATAATACCTGAACTATAGGCCTACAGCTTTAGAGAACCATTTTCCTGCTCTGTAGTAGAAGAAAGGAATGAGGAACCTTCAACATTGCTCTTAAGTTGGACTAGAAGAATAATCAGAGCATCGATGTACTTGGGGTATGGAACAACGTTTTCAGCAGTGGCAGCAGTAAAGCTGATTATTCTTGTTGAAGAACTCATTCTTGTGATCTGAGCTTTATTTAGTATGCGGAGATTGTTGGACAATGTGTAAAAATGTGAAAGTATCATTAACTTCATAGAAGTTCAGCAGCAGCAGCAAACCAATTAGAAGGAAGTCCTAAAAACGCAAACTTTATCTTCATTAATGTTTGATCAAAATGAATTTAAATTTGCTCCCTGTAGCTTCTGAATGCGCATCGCTATGCTGAAAGCTGAAAAAAAAGTTTTGTTACCTTATGAAAAAAGCTAACTTTTTTCAAATTTCAGAGGAATATGGTTCATTTTCCAGTAGGAGTAAGCTTGTAGAAAATGTATGTAAATCAGGAAAACTCCAGGCTTCAATGAATATGGTGGTGAGGACTTATGGGGAGTAATGAGAATGTTTTTAACTGGCAAGGGTCATGCATAGTCCTCCTAGCTAACCCTAGCTTTTGAGCAGTATCTCTGAAGTTGGGCTGCACAACCATGAAGTACAGTATAGTTACAGTTGTGCTCATTACGAACTCATACTAATATGGAAATGGCATTGCCAAAGAGGGGAGGCTGCTCAGGTGACCATGGTGGACTGAGGGGGCTGCGTATTTATGTTATATCCATCCAGTCAAACTTACATGGATACTAATACTTTTCATTAGCCCCTTGTGACTGGCAATTTCCACCCCCTGAAAAAAAGGGTTATACTCACTCGTGTTAAGCTAAACTGTGAAAAGAGAATGTGAACTGAACATGAGACTGTCGTGTATGAAATTCCACCAGTCAGTTTGTGAATCTCCATTGAACTTCTGAAGGTTCAGTGGAGCTATTAAACTTGATTTTGAATAGAAAATGCAAAAGGTTTGATGATCTTAAGAAGAAATGAGCTTCTGAGATTAATATTCAGCTAGGTATGTGTAAAGTCTGCAGCTTGAGATACTGTTATAAGGCAAACAGCATAATAATTAGTCTGTTATATTTTCCACAACATGTTTCTAAAAATATGAGAGAAGAGTTTCTGTTGCGAATATAAAATATATATGTGTAAATATTATATAGACATAAAAAGACATATAGTCTTGATAGATTCTCAATAGGAAAAAAAAGCCATGTTCTTTCATTTACTGATCTTTCTACTGATATTTTTCAGCGTGGGCTCCCATGATTTATGTGGACATCTGTCCTGTGAGAAAGGATTGCCAGATTTAACTAAGTTAAATCTGCGTACTGACAGATGGCAATGATGTCCACCGTAAGAAGTGTCTGAATTATTTAGAGGTAAGATGCTCTACACTGTATTATTGTTCTCTTTAGTCTAATTTTGCTGCTATTTATAGTCATTGGTAGAGGCAACAGAACTGTTGAAATCATGGGATTATAGAATAGGTAAAACTGTATTCTGAAAGTAGTATTTGATGAAACATATCAGTATACTATTAAGTGTAATATGACCAGGTACCATGAGCGCTTCATGGAGTGGAGAAAGCATTCCAGACTGAATGAATAAAATATTTCCAGGGATAATCAAGAAGGGCTTTTCTATATAAGAGAATAGCACAAGTGCAAATGAGGTCTAGGAAAATTGTAACTATTCGTATTTGGTGGATTTGGTTTTGGGAATATATTTTTAGAAATATAAGCTTGCTTAGTAGTTAAGTGCTTCCCCTAAAGACAAAATCTGCTTTCATCATTCACCAACAAAACGCATCAGAAGGCCTCTCACTTAGTCATGCAACAAACATAAAAAAGAGGAAGCAATAAACCCGCATCTTATATCCACGTACAAGAAAAAAATACAAGAGTCAAAATCAAGGAAATTGTGTTTCAAACTCTGTGTCCAAAGTAGCATGAGGGTGAATATTCCCAAGAAACAAACTGACAGTGCAGACATTTTTCTTTCACTTCCATCCCTAGTGGGAATGTCTTTTTTAATTTCAGTGTTTGAATGCAAGCAGCATACACATAAAAAATATTTTTGGTTGGTGAAGTAACACCATCTGCAGTTTTCTTGAAGTAGGTTTGTCCCTGTGTTTGTCTCCAGTTCTATGCTAATTATGTTAGAGAAGTGTTTATGCCAAAGTCGAAACAGATTTCAAGCAGTTATTTCAACAACAGCACTAATATACAAGGTGGGATAAGACTGGAAGAGTAAGTGTACAGTGGAATGTGAATGTACACAACAATGTGCACCAGGAGAGGTTCACAGTGGACATTAGGAAAACTTCTTCCATGTGAGTGTGGTAAAATACTGGAACAAGCTTCCTAGAGAGTTGACTGATGACCCATGCCAGCCATTATTTGAGAGGCATTAATAATACATGTTAGCTTTTGATTAGCCCAGAAGAGATTGGGCTGGTGGTTTAAATAAGGTGTGTCCAACCCTTGGACCAGATGTGGCTCTGTACAGCAATAGGGCCCCAGAACTTCATAAAATTCTAACATTATTGTATGATTTCAGTGACATATTTATTAGTGTGTAAGTTTTCTTATTTAAGTGGACTTGTATTATTTTGTAAAATAATTTAGTAAGTTAACGCATTCACTGTGGAAAGAAGATCCAGAATACACATGCAGTGCTGACAAATTTAGCATTTCTGGTGAATTTGACTGCTAATTTAATAAATTAAACATACATCTTCAAGGTGAAAATCAATGTATCTGTGGTATGTTTCAAACCGTAAGTGTTCAAAATAAAAATTAAATGATGTCAGACTTAAGTTATGGCAAATATTTTTACGCTTTTTGATATAGAACAGCTATGGGCTATTCTGTCAGTGTGTTACAGCCATCAAGGTTTGAGTTGGGCAGGTACATACTGCAGACAGATGTGAAACCAGGAAATAACAGTGAACTGAGTGGCAAATGCACTGCTCAGTAATCAAGTGTGTGAATTTGTTAATCAGAAAAACAAAGAATCTCAAGTTTCCATGCACTTCAGTGCTTTTGAGATATAAAAGATGCCAACCTTCCAGATTTTGCTGATGTCATGCTTCTGTGTTATTGCTTGTGTTTGCTTTTGTGCAGGTTTTTCTTCTCATTAGAAGAGTACTGACCTTCCTTCCTGTGATGCTTTCAGACATCAGTGTTCATGCATCATCCTATTTTTCCTGTTTAAACTTGTTAAAAAATACAAGTACATTGTATGCTAACATATAATTATGAGGTTACTTTTAAAACAGAAAGAGCTTGATGTTCTAACAAATCTTTTATCTTCCTCAATATTTAAAGCACATTAGAAACTGGGAAAGGCAAAAAAAAAAAAAAAAAAAAAAACCACCTGATTTTTCTTTTCATGTTCTAAACTGTTTCAGCTGTGAGTTTTATCCAAACATGGTTCAAAGGGAAGTGAACTTTGGCAATGGAATGTTTTTCCTTTCAAACTGAAACTAATAAAGAAATCAAATATTAATAATATCAAATTATCTTTGGCACATTGTCTCTGTACAAACTGTTTAGATACAGAAAGTGTTTTCATCTGATCAAACATCCACATTTTGTAACAAGTAATGAAAAGAATGTTCTATTACTCAGAGCTAGCTTCCAAGGAAGTCCATATTACAAAGTAAACCCAGGTACTTAGTTATCACTTTGACATCAAAGAAGTAATAAGAAAATATATAATAAGGATTGCCAGTAACAGTTACTGTACTTTATTGCCATTAAGCTCTAATATTAACGTACTAAATCAATATGGCACATACACTTAAAGAACCTTATTTTGATAAATTAAAATAATGTGTGAACTCCCTTGAATTACAAAAAAAAAACGAGTTGGCTTATGACCCAAGTGTGATTTCCTTCCTCTTTCAAATTGGTCCCTGCTGATTTCAAAATTTCTTTGAGAAATAGCTCTTAGCCTTTGGAGCAAAAAGCAATATATCTGAGCTTTTTCCAAGAACTTTACAACTAATCTGCTATTTCTGTCAGGGTAGAAGAGTCGCATCATTTTAAAAATAGTCTATTTTTTCAGATAGCATACAGAAATAGAGGCTGCCTAAATGCATTGAAGATTCTCATTGGTACATGCAGCTCTCATGGATCCACATCTACCAGATGAACCTGATTTGACTAGGACTTAGCAAACAGGTACTTTATTCCATTATTCTCTGTTCTCTTATTCTAAAGCAATACTAGTTGTTTGTAAAACAAAACAGGCACGAGTTCTTAGTTGTTAAAAAAAGAATAAAATTAAACTTGTTTTTCTTGTCTGTTGCAGTCTGTGCTTGTGTCCTGGTGATTGAGACGTTGTTGTGGCAACTTATATCACCTCAGGAAAAACCCTAAATGAACTTTCTATAAATAATCTGTTGTGCATTTTCACAGTTATGGGATTTGGTGTTTATTTCCTATAAAAACCTGTATTCATATTTAGATCAGATTTACTCTAGCACTCATTTACAATAATGCCACAGAAATAATTTTCTAAAACTTGGTGTTGTAGACAGATTACTAACAAAGCAATTCTAGCAAGCAACCAGAATATTCTGTCCTAGTGAAGACATTGTTTCTTTGGCTTCTACTCCATAAATGAACAATATAAATTTTTTTCAGTAATAGAATAGCTCCTGCAGGCTCCACAGTGTTAGACCCACCATCCGGTTCACCTTAAAAACACACTTGTCACGACTAATTATTCCCTGCTAACATTTCTGTAAACAATGGAAAAATAAACCTCCCTGAAGTCAACAATGCCATTAGTCACTTTGTTCAGCAAAACCTCTCTGTGCAAATTTAGGTCAAATTAATGAAATTTAATTAATAATTTAACATAACTGAGTATGATGAGAAAAAACTACTTCTACTTCTTTCACATAAAACTTAACCCTTAAAATTTTCAACTAGAACATGAAAATACTGCTTGGATTAATGATAGCCCATATATTGCTAATACTAGTTAGTTGCTAATATGATTCACCTTGCAGTTTCTAACTTTCGTTTTTCCCAATTAATCAATTCTGTTTCCGTAGATAACATATGAGCATAATTTATGTGATTATCTGATCAGATCTTCTGTGCTTTGTTCTTTTGTGATTTAAAAAAATATTTTTGATAGTAGTTGCTCTTCTTTATTCATTGATCCTGTTTAAAGTACTGTTGTGCTAGAGATGGCAACTGTGCTGTTGCAATTTGTTTATATGGCAATGCACTATGATGATATTCCAAAAAAAAATATGGGTGAAGTTCATTCCGCAGTAGTATTCCTCTTACACCTTTGGAAAGCAGTGCCTCATATTTCTGTAAGACAGATGTGCAAGAACAAGACACAGATTTGTTACAAGAACATAGGAGAGCAGCACACTGAAATCCTAATGAATCCTTTAATATACTGTTTTTCTTCTCTTTCTCTTGCTTTTAATATGTTACTACTTGAGAGGCTTCACTTCACTTGGGTTGCATATCCTGAGGCTTGAAGACACCTTGCTTTGAATCCCATTGCAGGAAAATGGTCTATATTCATTGAATATAGTTGATAATGTGAGAGAGTCATTCAAAATCCCTGCTAAATTAACAAGAATGTTATAATTTATGATGACTGCAGCAGTGAGATTCTCTCCTTCTTGTCAGATCACCTGTCTCTGTGCAAACTGCCTGATTATAATCAGTCCTGAACTTCCTAGGTATTAATGAGGAGAATTTGTTTCAGAAGGCTAATGCTAATGATACAGAAAAGCTTACACAGAAAAAAATGTCATAAAATGAAATAGTAAAAACCAACTAATTTTGTCCCTGATTGAGAGCCAACTTCAGTGTGTTCAGTTCTCCAACAACTGTACACCAAGTGTTAAGTTAACCCACAGGACTATATTTGCTGTTAAGTTACCCCACAGGACTAAATTTGAAGCTGAGGCAGGTGAGAAGACATCAGATGGGATTCAGCCAGCCCCTCCTGAACTGTCAGCACCTTTTGCCAATGTAGAATGATGATTTCTGTGCACATATGTATGCACTCCTCCTGAACGCAAGCTTTGATGTCTGCCTGTGCCAAAGTTATTCAAACACTTTCTTTTAAGCAAACAAAGGAAGAGAACCTCTTCCCTTATTTTTTTCTTCTAACTTTGGTAAAATAAGACTGTATAAATCCCTCAATGTATTCAGCTGGGATATAATCCAACAGTTTCGGTGGAATTTAATTATAGTAACATCCTAATTGAAGGTAAATTAAACAAGACTAAAATCAAGAACTGTCATACTAAATGAAAATCTAAATTACATGAGTAACAGACAGTTCTGTCCTAGAATTATGACTTAAGGAGTGTGACATTCTGTTTTCAGGTTAATCAATGAAAGCTTCACGAATATTTTAAAGCCTTCCTTAATCTATTAAAGGCCAAATTAAATCTAAACCTCTGAAAGACACTGAGCAGGAGAGCAAAGTGAATCAATTCACTTTGGAGAGGAAAAATGCGTGCAATGAATGAGTGGGCTCTATTGGAGCTTTGATGGTCTTATAGGTTGGAATTTATTCCAGTCCAGTGACCAGTGCAGAAATGTGCTTGCCTGAAACCTAATCACTTAGGCTTATTTTTATTACCTGATCACCTAGACATTATTTTTACACCACGTTTACTACAATGTTAGGTTGTACTGGCAGTCAGCTGCCTGTGTGATGCCCTGCCCAAGCCTGGGTGAGTGAACGCAAATGTGGGACTCAAACCCCTGTGGAAATTTTTTCCTTCCTCTTTTCTATCTTGTCTCAGAACATCAGGAATATTACATTGTTTCATCATCATAGACACATCTATCATTATTTTGTCTTGTAACTGCTGTGACATGTATCCTGCAAAACCCTCCATGTTGGGACAAAAGTAGCTCAGGCAGCTTTAGTGAGGCATGCTCTCCTCAAGATTACCACCCTAGGGTTTTTTCATCAGCCCCCACCAAGGACGTACAGAAAGAGAAACAAAACAAGCAAACAAATAAATCCACACCCACAGACAAAAAAAGCCCAACCCAGCTGAAGAGTTTTTTCCATTCTAACTCACCGATCATGTCAATCTCTTACCACCTTCCTGTTTCCTCAGCTGTCAAGACAACAAGTTTCCGCAAGAAAACTGCCAGCCCTTCATTAATAGAGCTTGTCAGCTGTGGGCTCTGTAACTGCATTTTCCTGCTTTTTAGCAGCAAATCTTAATATCTCTAAGAAAATGACTGCACAGCTAAAAGCCTGCACTTTTCATCCATCTATAAATGCACAGCTGGCATCCTTATGGGATTTTCTATTGTATGTATTCAGGCTAGCATTTTCAAATCCTCAGATATGGCCTGTGTTATTTCTTCTAGCAGGAGAAAAACAACAACAAAACTAGTGCAGATGTAGAGGGCTCTTCTCTTTCGGATCTTCATCTTTTGGATTTACCTGATGTTAACTTTGGGATTTGAACAGAAAAAGCTTTTAATTTTTATTCACTATTAGCTTGCATGGAGTCCCAGAATCTATGTAGTGGCTTGTAAAGAAAAAGGCTCAGCCTCACCTTAGGAAGTATACAGCTGGGATCTGGTGAAAACACAGGTTCCAGTCACCTGTTTAATATCATGTCCTAGCTGCAGTTTTCTCCAGGGAAAATTACTTGATAGACAGTTGTAGTGGCCCACAGCAACCCCAAAAATAAAAAAGAACCGATCTATCATTTGCTGCAGTTTTACTTCCTTTCATTTACTCATTTAGACAGTGCTGTCAAAACTGTGCCCTTCTAGAGATAGTTACGTTTTTAACCTTTGTGAACATTAGCTGTTTCTGAATGGAACCCCCAAAGGCAGTGCACACTGTGGAGCCACCTTGTCAACTCACTTGGTAGAGCAACGTAGTAGAGATAGAATGAAACTTCAGGATTTATCTTTAAATATTGCCTCTCTGAAGATTCATATAAAGAATTATTATTACTACTGCTATGGCTATAACTGAGTTCTCTCTGAAGATAATTTCTTATTTTCCTCCCTTTTAGTGGTTTGAATTTGTGAAGTTGGATGTTGAAGTAAGAAGGTTATCAGTTGTTCTGTTGGTATGCTGTAGTCTAAAATTTGCAGTGTGGACTCAGGAAGTGGTAAAGGAAGATTTATCCTTCTGCTTCTGTAAAAACATAGTATGAGCAATATGGTCATGAAATAATGTACAGAAAATTGTATTTTTAAGGGAAAGCGGGATTTCTGTCTCATTTATGTCCTGTGTTTCATTGTCTTCCTGATTCAGAGTATATTCTATTTTTTGTTACATCTTGGAAGATTATTGAGGCAAAGAAAGTTCCACAAAATTGATTATAATTTTGAATTAAATGATATATATTTCACCCTGCTGGGCTGGAATAGATAGCTTGCCTCTTTGCACGTAAATAGCTGAGCATGCTTTCCTCAGGAAGACTGAATCCAGTTTCAGTTTTTCTTAATAAGCACTCCCACAGTAAGTTTCTTAACTCACAAAAGAGGAAGAGAAAATTCCTCATTGAGTATTTTTCAAAGAAAGTCCGAATTTTAATTGCATTTTTTTGAGGAATTTTGATTTTGTGGTGTTCACATGTTTACAGAATGTGTAGTAAGCTACTTAGTGTAATGAGGCAAATGGTCATACTGTTTTCTGATTGTGTTTGGGTAGGTGGCAGGATAGTTTGACTGTGGTGCCTCAATATAAATATTTAAGATAAAATAAGTAGACACATTTGTGACATTTCTATTTTACAGCTTCTTAAGATTTCTGCACACTTTTACAGATCTGTAAAGCCATGGAAATCATGTGCAGGTGCTCTTTATGGCTTACTGTTTTGATGTTTGTCCATCATCCAAAGCATTTTATTGTGACACTTTTACCAGTAAAATGCTAAACTCATCTATAGTAGTATTTATGACAACTCTATATGTTAAAGGTAGTTAAAAGATAGAGGTCTGATTATTTGCATGTACTGTTAGTTCTTATTTATTTGCTTATGTATTTGGTATGTGATTCCTGAGATCATAAAATCAGCTATTTACACTCAGTTACAGATTGAGAGATAACAGCAGAAATCTTAAAACTGGTTATGATGCCAAAGTTTTCCCGGTTGTTAACAAAGCCCTGATTAGAGCTGGTGAAATATCAGGAAACTGTTTCAAAAAATAAACCTGTTTCTGGAAACTGCAAAGTTCAATGACTGATGAATTCAACAAATGGAACATGACCACCTTTAGGGCTCTTGTCTAGCTGTGTAGGGCTCTCTCCAAGAAAATGCCAGAGGTTTTAGTGAGCCATTTGCATAGCTAACTCAATTTGCTCCAGGAGTGTGCAGATACTTTATAAATGTGGATTTCTAAAAGTGCAGTCCTATGACAGCAAATTTCTCAGGACAGCTGCTGGAAGCTAGGAAGTTAATGTAATTTATCACTAGCAGTTAACAGAGCACAAGCTTAGTGGATGCCTTTTAGATATTTGCAAATAGAAACACCTGTTTTGAAGTAGCCAGGTATCTCCGTATCTCCAATTCCCCACTGAGACATGCATAATAAAATGCAAACAAAATAAAGATGGGTGTTCTAAGACTGTTTTCTCTGCATTACTTACATCTTTCATCAGTCTATGTTTTGAGATGATATTCGTGCATTATAGGTGTGAAAAATGATAAGGAATTGCATCATACAGCATGTGCTCTGTTTCTTAAAGGCTTTATTGTTCATTAGTTAATAATTCCATTGCAGTAATCATTTTGGAGAATTTGGTATAAAGTGGCTTTGCAAGTTTGTTTGGAAATTGATTTTCCAAATTTAAGACTTATCTCTTTTAGCAACACTCTTCCAGCAAACTTCACTGGAGTTTATTTTCCTCAGAGATTCTGTGTTCTGTTCTTGTTTTGCTTTTTTTTATTTCCAGTGTATTCAGCCCAGTTTTTCACAAACGGTTCCTGTTTTGCCTGTCTCTCATCTAGGAGAGGAACAAACCAACTATCAGTGAGGATTTAGTGTCCATAAGGATGAAACAGCCAGGGAAGAGCAGGCCCACAAAAAACGTGACAGCAGAGCAAGGAAAAAATGGTCAGTTCACAGCCAAAAGCACTGGAGAGGTAACCTATACACATTCCTGATTTTCTGTTGTATCTATTTTATAAGGTACCTGGATAAATTTAAACAAAGAGATGAGAAAGTGAGCAGTGTAAGCCTCAGTGCTGTGAGGCTTATCCCAACTGACAGAAGCCATTTCTGCATTTACAGAGACAATTGCTGCATGTAAAATGACTTCAACTGAATACTGATTTTGTATGATAACAGTGACAGCCTCCATCTTTTTAAAAGCCTTTTTAGCCTACTCCCTTACAGCATTCTGCTTCTATGTTATTAACTCTTAATCATGTTGAATAGGAGATTGTAATCCTGATAATTCAGCTGAGTGACTTGTAAAACCTTCAATGGGCATAACAAAAAAAATCTGAGACACTGCAAGAGTAACTACATTTTTACTTCAAAGGCTCATGAAGTTTGGTCATCTTCTGAAAACGTAGATGGTAGGTAGTCACCATAAAGTCTTTATCATGCACTGCTTTGTCCACTGTGAGGGAATTATCAACACATGTTAAATATGGAGATATCTAACTGATTATAGTACCCTTAATTGTATGTTTATTGAAAGTGACATGAAATTTTACCTGCCAATATGGAAATTACTGCGGAGATTATATTCTGTTTCCCTCTTTTGCTTTTTTCCCACTGGCACAATCAAGTATCTTTGTCTTGTATCCTGTTAAATAGCGCGTGATGCAGGTGATCATACTGAACCAGCCTTTCTGCCTGAAGAAGTCATGACTCAGTGAGCAGGTAGGCATGCTTTACAGCACACCAGAAGCTCCACATTTCAAAGCACACAGGTGTGACACACAGATCTGTTGGGTGCCCAGTGCCCATAAAAAATGAGAGCAAACAGTACACTGTAAGCATGTGCTCCTGTTTGGTGCGGCTTAGCACCCTTGTATAAGAGACGTGAACAACCCCTACCTGCTGTTACGGCTGTCTGCACACAAGACTGGAAATAGACAGCTTATTACAGCATGCTGAATGGTATCACTCTGGCACTTCTGTAGATTACCATGCTATTGACAGTTTCTTATCATTGTATTTTTAAGACACCTGAATTTAACCTTTCCTCTAGATAGTGAATTCTAGAGAAATATATCTACAATCCAAAGGAGTGTTCGAGCCATTTTTTTACAAAAATGAAGGACTGGCTGTTGATTTTTGTTTTAACAAACTGCCTTGGAACTATTCATTTTCAGAATATTCATTGCTAACATATTTAAATTTCTTTCCCTCCAGCATGAGCAAACTATTATTTACTCTCTGAAAGAAAATATCAGACTTGACAGCTGTAATATATGACATCTTTGAAATTGTTTGTGGCAATGGTGTTGTCCTTAAATCTGTCATATTAAGCACATCCCCTTCACTGCAGCAGCATTTGTGCAAATATCAGATGGGAACTTTCTCAGGGTGTATTATGTCTGCTTCTGCTGCTCAGGACAGAATCGTAGTTCTGCTTTAATGGTTAGAGAAATCATCTGATGCTGTGGATAGCCATTTAGAATAACACTTAGACTGTTTATTAAAGGATTGTAAAATTTCTACTGACATGAGAATTGAACTCTTCCTTTATATTCTTCTGAGTTTAGATAAGGAACTGTCACTATGAATAAGATAAGAAATTTTATCTTATGGCAAAACTGTTTATAAACAGATGGCTGAGGCTCATTTGCATGGATCTGATAAAAATTTTTCTGCCTATATGAACCTCATTTCTCCACAAAAGAGGATGCACATAATCCCAATACTAATCATAGACTGCGATAAATGGGATCATGCATAGGATAATTTTCCAGTAATCTCAGTTAAGGTACTAAATGCGTAGTGCATGAAGAATGCTATCATCTGTGATTGCATGAAGAATCCAGAAAAACTCACAATGAGTTAACTTTGGCCCAGTGGTTGATGGGAGTTGAGCAGAGAAAAGGATAAAAAGGGGGAAAAAAGAAAATTTAATAATTCAAAATATCAGAACTGTTTCCTGAACTGTTAAAAACCTTGAGCCATTTTTCTGAGTGCAAAAATTATTTCCTGCTCTTCACTGACTTAAAATGTGAGAAAGATGTTGGTAGCAATGCAATTATGAAGGGCCTTTTCTTCACATGTAATGCTGCTGTAATGGGGGTGGTGGAGCAAGGAATAATTTTACTAGGAAAGAAAGAGTTTAAGAGGCTTCCTTCCTTGCTTTCTTTAGTTTAAGTCTTGTGTTTCTTCTCAAATGAATATGTGATCCTTGTGACGTTCACAATTTCTTGTAGGCTTTACCTCTTCGCATTGCACCATACATAGAAATATAACTTATCAGTCTGCTTCTTGTAGGATAAATACTATGGTGTCTATCACTAATCAGAGCAGTAAACTGGCATTCTTGCTTTCACTTGAAAACCTCAGTGAGCTTAACAGTGCTATCAGTGACCCTTTCCAGAACAAGTATTTTGTCTTTGTTGCTCATAGCTTTAATATTTTTTTGATGCTCAGACAGTAAAAGAGGCTGGAACTGCAGAGTGTAGCAAGCATAAAATATGAAAAAACAGAATTCTGGTTCTTAAAAGCCTGTATATGTTCCCTATCAGTATTCACACATAATGATGAGGAAGAAGATGTTATGGATCCTTTTCTGTCATAAGGGTGTATGTGATTATAATAGTGTTTTCTGGCAATTTTAAAATTTCCTGTCTCTCACTTTTAATTGTCATTAATGCGTCTGAAAATTGTATATATGCCATAATAATGTGTGTCTCAGGGTTATGTTGAGTGTAGAAGATTTTTGTGTGGCAGGTGTGTTAGCAAAGTAACACTGGCAGGTGTGTTAGCAAAGAAGTGATGAACACTCAATCCAAGACATAATCCTTACAAGCTGATGAAGTGAAGTTTTGTTTCTGCTAGCTGTGTGTTAACGTATTTTGTTCCTGATCATCTGCACATTTTACTCTCTTTATAGCACTTGTATAACTATTCTATTTTCTCCATGTAAAAAGGTGAGTACATCTTTCATGGTGGCATATTTTTAAAAACAAGAGACATTTTTCCCCCTAGGACTTTCAACCTGTTACTGCTATCTTTCACTCTGTTTGTATTTGTATACAGTCCTCATATGCATCCTACTCTTCAATATGTTTCATCAGCTGTACAACAGACTACACTCAGTCTCTTCAGAACAGATTTTGTTTGCAAGATTAATGTTTGAGGTGGATTTGGAATACCTTTGGCCTGCTTTTCTAAGGAAATGAGGCATGTTGACTTACACCGTCCATCTGCCAGCTTTTCAGCCTTCCACTTCTTTTCCTCTGGGGACATTTACACCTTCTGGTCAGGTTCAACCAAGACCAAAGGCACTGAATCAAAGAAGATCACAGAAAATTTATGGTGAATAGAGGAGAGAAACTAATATCACTGCAACATCCTGACACAGTGCAACACGGTGAAAGCAGACTCTATCTGACCTACCTAGCCTGCTGACTAGCAAGCATATACTACCTAGCTAATTAATACATGTATGTCTCCAAACTGACCACAAAACTTGCCTTTCTGTTCCCTAGCTGGTTATTTCATGACTCAGGGAGGTGTTAGTAATGTAGTAAGGCTTGGAAGGTGTTCAGATAGATGGAATTGTCACAGTGATACCTGTAGAAGACACAAAAGAAAAAAAAAAAAATCAGTAGGATACTAAGCTTCAATTGTTGAGATGCTCATTGTTTCTTTTGGCCTAGTATGCTTTTCAGAAATTATTAAAAGAATGTGGGGGTACAATGTCCTTACTGTATCTGAGTGTAAAGGAGGAATGTTTCTGCCCATCTTCCAGAATGTATGAATCATTTAGCTGAATCTATATATAGTTCATCCTTTTGGTTGTTTGTTGTTTTATGTCTCTTGTTGGGGATTTCTGAAAGTTGAAGAACAAATAATATGAAAAGTAAGAGAAGAAATAATTTTCATCATAGGAAATGCCCTCTGAATAGAAAGATATTTAGCTGTGTCAGTGAATAATTGGAACAAATTTGGAGAGTATTCACTCAGATAGAGGCACAAAATATCTGCACCACTTTATAGGAAGAACAGAGATATTAAAAAAAAAAAAATCATTTCAAAATAAAAACATATGGTGGATCTTCACTTTTTTGGAGGTGAAGATTTTATAGTCACCATTGTTACCCATTGGGCCTATCTGAGCAATGATCTTCCAGTCATTTTCACAGTTATTTTTTCCTAATATAGAGATTGGTCTCTTTGATCTCTTCTTTCCTGAGCTAGAACTTAAGAAATAAACTAGAACTACTCCAAAATTAATGCCTCCTTTTTTATTGTTTGCCCGTGACATCAGAGGCAGATTTTGGTGATGTGTCAGTAGAGGTTGAACCTTCCCACCAACATTCAATTATATTTTGTTGCAGTGTGACAAATGGAAGAAAAGGGGCAATATGATAAAATGGCATCTGACATGGGCGTGTGTAGGAAGCAAAGGTGTGTTGTTGAATTCCTCCGTGTGGAAAAAACTGACATTCATCAATGCTTGATGAATGTTTTTGGAGACGAAACAATGGATATGAGTGCAGTGAGGCAGTGAATGGTGCATTTCAGCAGTGGTGATAGCAACAGTTGGTTACCTCCTCTGATGCAGATTTGTATGAGCACAGCATGCAGGCTCTTGCTCATCATTGGCAAAAATGCATAGCCAGTGGTGGTGGCTGTGTTGAAAAATAGTGCTTTGTAGTTGAGAATTTGCTCTATCAAATAATGTGTTCTCTTTGTATTGGTTGTAGTTTCCAGGGAAATAAATAACAGGCATTACTTTCTGAGCGAGCATATAGTATCGTGTTTAGGCAATACATGATTCCTGTTGATTTCTACTCTAGCAAAATCCAAAGCTAAAGCCAAAGAGCCTCCACATTCCAATTGCAAAGATCTTCGTATTTCTACATAAGTTTTGGTTCCACATCAATCGGTATAAGATAGTTTTCCATTTTTTTTCCACAAAAAAAAAAAAAAAAAAAAAAACAGAAAAACAAAACAAAACAACCCCACAATCTAAGTTTCTTCTATATTACAGAGCAGCTGAACACCAAGAGATTAGGATAATTCTGTGTGCTGACTGAGAAGAAAACGAAGATTTTCTTCCACGACTGAAAATCCATTAAAAAACTACAATTAAAAAAAAAAAAAACCAGCAGATAAGCAAATATTCCCTAGATAGCTTCCTCAGGTAAGTCCTACTAGCTGTAATCTAAATACATATTTGGAAAACATTTTTTTACCTTCATGTTTTTAAAGATATACATATGTACATCTTATTAATATATATATTAATTATATAATTTATTAATTATAATTAATATATTAAACATCTATTTAAAATTCTTGGAACTAGAAGACACTTATATTCCACAAATTACATTTTCTGCATGTGTGAATGTCAAGAAATAAAGTGTCTTGTGTTATAATGCATTTCAAGATGCAGGATCTGATAATAGCTGTCAAACCAGTCAAAGGTATAGCATGATCTTCAGTTTCAAGGTTGTTAACAAAATGTCTGCTCCATTTTTGAGCTAGGAAATCATATCCTCTAACCTTCAAATAATATTTAAAAAACCCTGTGACCACTTCAGCTGTGACCCTGTTGCATTTCAGAAACTGAAAAGCTATACCTCGTGTGTGTACATTTACTTCAGGAATTTAAGATTTCCAAAGTAGACCCAGGGTGCAAGAAAAAGTCAGTTAGCTATGTATTAGATGATATTATTATTATTATTATTATTATTATTATTATTTAGATTATTTAGATTATTATGAAGAATAAAACACACTGTATCATTATGGCATACTGTGCATATGACCACAGAGTTCAGTCAAAGAACATTTCAAAAAATGCTCCTTTTTTAAAAAAAATTATCCATGTAAAAATTATAGCTATATTTTTTCATTGGTAGCTGATTCATTTCAAAACCAAGTGAGGTTCCTATGATCTAGGGTGAAGTTTGCAGTCCAAATTTATGGAGAAAAGTATTTGAGTGGCATGTGCATTTACTTGGCATACCGAAGTAGTAAATTGGGGTCTGTTGTATATGCTTCAGATAAAGGGTGGATGTAAACGTGATACTTTTTGCATATTAAACGAGTATCATTGTTGAAATTTTTATTATTAAGAATTTAGATACCTTAGAATTAAGTATTAATGTTTGGAAAAGGCTTCAGAGTGTTGTACCACATTCTTGTTGCATTCAATTATTAGTAGCTCTTAGATTCATATTTTTATCAGTGTTGCTGGAATAAGTTATTGATTTAATTTGCCTATGTATTGTTTAAAACTACAAAGTTCTGTCATATGACCAATGGGTCAGTGCTAATATTAAATAGGAGAGGTTATTACTCTCTTAAATAACATAAAGTTTCTTATTGAGAATATCAGTATTTAAATGCTTGTAAAGGCATGCAAAGAATATTTATTCATAGTATTACAACCTCTTTAAATAATGCAAGAAAGAAAGCAACACGATGTAAGCACAATTAATTCAATAGATCTTTTAACTAAATATGCATAACACCTGGTAAAAAAAAAAAAAGAAAAAAAAAAAGAAAAAGAAAAAGAAAAAGAATTTAACTGTAACCTTTATGGAAATGTATGATCACAGACTGCGCAGGAGTTGGAATAAAAAAAGAAAAAGGGAATCCAAATTAACATGTGAATTTTAATTAGGAAAAAAAGAATGAATAGAATGCAGCAGAGGTGTGCTATGGTTGTTGCAAGACATTGAGAAACAGGGCAGTAACACAGAAATCAGGCATGAGTTGTGACCACTAAAATCCAGGCTGTGTCTTTAATCCTAAAATCAGTGTCCTAATTTTTTAATCTCTTTATAGTAGGAACTGGATTTTAACTTTGCAACTGTAAAAGTTGATCATGGAACTCTGATTTGGCTCCACTCTTAAATCTCTCACAAAGTCACTGATTTTAGAAGAAATTTACACTTACAAAACACTTCACTCTCCTAGTATTTTCTTAGACAGCCCAAAAAATATCCTGACTTCAAAATTTTACTCGAGCATCAATTGCTAGGCATGTCTGAAACAGTCCATGACACTGGACTAGACAGAATCATTTTTAAGTCCCCATTTTTCTTACTGTTTTGACTGTTCTTTGTTACTGGATTTTTCTAATAATTCCTGAATATATACAGTACCTCACAAACAAGTCTTGTGAAAACTGATTAAAAACTGAATTTGTTCAATGGGAGTTTTCTTCCAGGGCTCTCATGATTTCAGTCATGGCTGTGAGTTCATGCAGTGATCAGATGTGCTAAGTGCTGTTTATCTGATGAGACTCAAGGATCCACATGAGGATACTACTTTTCTGTAAGAAATAACATAGATTCAGCTCAACTGAACTTGTGAAGATGAGCTTCTAATTATTCTACTTAATAACGCAAAAAGAGAAAAGGCAATGAATTCATAAGAATTTATTTGGATGCAAACCATCTGAGCAATACTTTATGTATACTCTGCTAATGGATGGTAAAAGCATTTAGGCAAGCTAATTCACTCCTGGGATGTGCTCTCAACAAGAGTCAACAGTGTAATACTCAGCCACTAGTGTGGTTAGCTATACATAAGAGCTGCAGAGCAGTACTGCAGCAGCACAGACTGCTGTAAGTTCTTTACTTCATGCCTGTATGTTGAAGGCTGGTGCTCATCAGCTGTTCAAACCATCTCAGCACAACTAACTTAGCTTTTATCATGCCTTAGTGAAAAATGGCAATTTAGGACGGTGCAACAGAAGTGGGAAACATAAACAAATCCCACTAAAAGTTTGCGAAATTTCAGGATGCATTGCTGTTTGTGCCACTTTTGCTAGCGCATCCACAGCACAGCACACTGACTGCATTCAACTGTGCACCAGTCCAAACCTTATGCCTAAAAATTTCATTTTTACCATCAGGGACTGGAAAGGGGCTAATGACCTTCTTTAGCTTCATCTAGAAATATTATCAGAGGACTGGTATTATGGAACTGTCATGACAGAAGTCAATTCTCAGTGTTATAAACTGGCTTGGGAAAAAATACCCTCAACTGACCTAGGCATTTTCTGCAGCTGGGCTCAGGCCAGGATTCTCTGCAAGTGAACATCTCCAGAAATAACATCAGTTAGGCTCTAAGAACTAACTGGAATTGTTACACATTGCCAAGACATATCTTCTAAGGTTGGAGGGGGAGTTATGGGAGGCCATTGTGGTTGATCCCTCCTAAAGGCATCACAAAGAGCACGTCACATCCTGATCTAATCTGACAGCTGAGGTATGTCTGTCTCCATTCCTAGCAACCTCTTCCCTCCAAACATACATTTTCACATAAAATGGTCATGCTTTCATGATTCTCATGCCAAAGTTTTTCTAGAGAGACAAAGTTACAAAGTTTCCACTTTATCCATCAAATTTTGGAGTACTTGTATGATTATTGCTCATAAACATCAGCTCTTCTGCCACTGCATAGATTAGATAAAGCTGTTTGTATCCCTGCTCCATCCTCTGACAAATGCTATTGGATACAGGAGTCAGATCTATGTTTCAGGCTGCCCAGTTCCCTGGAGATGAGAGCAGCTCTCTTCCCAACTCCTGTGAGAATCTGAAACTTCCTGCTGCTTCCACCAACCCAAAGGAGAAGTTGTACCAGTCATGTGATCGCAGTCTGCTATTGCAAATTACTTTTCCCACCCTTGTTTGTGAAGAACAGAATGAACACATCAGAATTTTACTGGTTTCCATATTTTTCCCCCCTTGTCTGGAGAGAAATCTAATTGTGGCAGAAGCCCCAGGTGCTGTCACATATCTTGTGTGTTGCCTCTCATTCTGTCCATCAAAGTTGTCCTCACAAATAAGAAGTTAGCAGACCAGTACACCCTTCAATTTTTTTTTTTTTGTCGGGGGAGGAGGGGAGTTGTGTTTGAATTTTGTGGCTGAATACCAGCATTTAGACCAAGAAAAGTGAGTAATAATTTTGATTTCACATAAAGACTAGCACACTGAAAATAGACTTCACAACAAGATTTTGATTTATGCTACTGGCAATGCAATCTCTTCCAGCACTAGGTTTTTAGCAAATATTTAGTGATTAGAAATGTCCTGCAACCAGACAGCTAAATCCATTCATGAAGTATCTTTATGTGTTTGTGAGACAGAACTGTCAAGTGAATAATTAGTTCCTAGAATGTTTCAGGCTATATTGTTTTCTTAACAAATATGTTTGTCTACTTGCTTTTGACTGGTAGATTTTATTAGTTTCTGACATGTGCTTTCCTCCCTTGATGGCTTCCCTGCTTGAAAGAACACAATTATTCTGTGTTTGCTAGAAGTTTTAAAGGATGATAATTGTTTTATATGTAATGCCTTACTTTAAGTACTGGAGATAACACTGTCTTTGTTCATTAACTTCATGACTCAACTGTTGTCCTCAAAATACTCGTCTTGCCAAGATCTCTCTTGCTTAATGAGAAGGCACAAGCAGCAAAACTACTAAATGAATTCAAGGACATTTCTGGAGATCTGCTCGCCTTCTGAAATGAAGATAAGGCCAGAAGGAAAAGACAAATCTTATTGCCAGCATAAATGGAAAAGTGGAAAGAAAACATGGAAACGGTAAAAAGCTGTAAGCCGCGGAGGGAGCTGTGTCCTCTGGGGGAGAGGTATGTAGATACAGCACAAGAAGATAGCTTTTAGAGACATGAAGGAGTTATGTAACATGATGAAATGCAGAGAGGCAGAGCTCTAGGGCACAATCATTCTCTGCTAGCATGATGCTCAGTCATGCAAAAAACATTTCCAAACAGCAAGTTAACTCAACAGGAATAGAAATTGCAGCTGCAATGAAAAAATGCCGTATTCAGCATTAAGGTTGCTCTGACTGGAAGCTGTGTGTGAGGAGTTCTCCTATTCAGTTCCATGTCCTTCACTCAAGCAGATGCAGAAAATTACAGAAAAGATTTCTTCCTTTGAAACTGTATATTTTTGTACTTGTTTCCTAATGGAATAAGGTTTATTGTGGTATTGCTGCCTGGATGTCCATTCACCTTCCCACCTGTTTCATTATTTTCCCCTCTGTTTCCACAGACATTGGGACCTATTTGCTGACTCTGGAGAAAGAGTCCTATGTGCTATGTAAATTCATGGGTCAAGCTCAAGAGGAGACCTGCTGTTCTGCTGAAGAGAAGGCAGGTAGAATTCAGTGGTAATATTGGTGCTAAGTGTAAGCCAAAAAAAAAAAAAAAGAAAAGGAAATCATGATGTCCGTGTTTCTAAGATAACAATATATTATTTTATTTTCTTTGGATATGTCTTGCAAATGCATCACAGTCTTGTCCAATTCTTGATAGGAGACTGAAATTCAGTGGTTGCAAATTCAGAAGAAATAGGTTTCACTAGCTCTGTTGTTTGGACAGGAGACTTTGAGATTTTTGTATATCAAAGAAAATATTTTATTCATAATGTCCCTGCACACTAGTGAGATGGACTGTGTTGGTGAATGGCCAGGATGCTGGGTACAATTGCAAGCGGGGAAAAATTAGGGATGTTCTTCTTCACTGAGGTAATCATATCATGGTATATAGAGTCATATGTTCCTTTCTGAAGTATTTGTTTAATTAATGCTCCCAAGACCAAAAGAAAATCTTCTGCAAGTATATGAACAAATGGGGCAGAGTAGAGAGGCAATGTTAAGCTACAGTTTAACTCAGCAGTAACTTTTAGTCATCAAAGCAAGTCCCTTCGAAATGGATTCTCTTTTTGTAAGTCAACTTACCATCTTTCTTGTTTTCACATGTTAAAGACTGTGCCTGTTTTTACCTCTAGCTGAATACCTCGAATTTGCTCAGCTTTCTAACACAGCTTTATTTATAGTGCTTTTTGATTCCATGCACACTTTGAGGGATGTTTTATGTTTCATTTATTTTTTATGTTTTCTTCTCTCACGTCCAATCTCATCTGTCCAAAAATCATTTCATAGTAGTTGTCTTATTAATACTTAATTGATTAAATAATATAAAAACATTTTAATCTTTTGTGAACGATTCAGTTATTAAACATGAAAGATATGTATTTGCTTAGTACTTAATTTTTTTTTAACATATGAAAATATTGAACACCTGTTAAGAATGAGAGAATAAGCTAAATAAAAAGGTAACTTCTCTTTGCCAGATAGGGGCTAATTTCCATTTCTTACAGATTCATCAATTTATTCCATCTTTATCTAACCACAATGCTATTGTAAAGATGAAAATCCCAATCCATCAGCCCTGAAATGTTTTTTAAAGTTTGATGCTTGCAGAAAGCAACACATAGCTTTCAGAAATCAGTAGAAAAGAGATGTACTAGATAATAAATAAGGAAGGTAATTGCACCCATTGTTTATGTCAGTAAAAAATGAGAATGCGTTTTAAAAAAAAGAGCAAAAAAATTCTAGCTGTATTATAAAATAGTTACACAGGCCTATCTCACCTTCAGAAATAACTGACAGTTAAGAAACCAGCTTACAATAAAATCCATTGGACAGTTTAAGCACCTAATAAAATGCTCTTACATATGGTGACTTGAAATGCTTTGTTTCATTATTGCTTTATCAGTTTACTTGCATTACAGCATTTCCCAAACTGAATCTGATTTTCTGTACCCCAATAACACGCATAGTGAGGAAATTGGCCGATTAAATGTATAAAAACCTTTGTTGAATGAATAACTTGTTCTATTTCCTTCCTTCAAATTACTCACTTTTGAAATGCTCCAGTGGCTTTTAGTAATATGTTCTGGTTCATAAGGGTGCTTAATCCTTAAATAATATGTGTGATGATGCAGTGGCTGATGAAAGATATGATCTTAAAGAGTTATTCTGAAAATGAGTGCAGAAAGTTGGATGATTTACTGTAGCTAGCAGAAGGATCTCTGTCTAAAGTTGCAAGGGAGGGCAAAAAACATTGTAGGTTAGTGAAAGGTGAAACTGCCCTTTATTGAAAATAATTTATTGAAAATAAGAAATTACCTGAAGCCAAACAGATAATTTCTAAATAATTTCTAAACATTTCTAATAAATTCATACATCCAAACTGATTCGAGGGGTATCATCTTGTAATTTTTGTAGCTGAAGTTGTTCATGCATTTAGTAATGCAGACTACATACTGTTTGAACAATGGAGATGCTCCTTAATATACTATTTACTTTGCTAATGACATCAAATCCAATTTTTCTTAGGAAAAGTTTTCTAGTGTTATTTTGCCATTGCTGAAATACATAGTACCAAAATGAAGACTTTCTAAAAGTTGTTTTCAGATTTTATTGAATCTTATTAAACATAAATATGACTTCACTGCAAACAGATTTTATAGTTCTGGATAACCTTTGTAGCTCCAGGAGTCTCAGACCAAACTGGTTGCAAATGAGTGCTGGAATGTTCTCCCTTTCATTTGGAAAGCAGCCAAATTGTTTTGCATTTTTAGCACGAACAGCCAATATTAAGTGATAAAATACATTCTAGGCTATTCTGACCAAGAAAATAGATGTATGAAAGCATTTTCTTTCTGATGCTTTGTATTTTGTTTTTTCTCCCTCCCATCCAAAGTTGTGGCACTCATGACTCTAACTTAACATGAATTTTGGCACTGGCTCAAATGGAGACAAACTATCTGGAATGAAAGAAGGAACTTCTCACTGTCTGCACATGCAAAAATAGTGGTTTTTTTTCATTTAATCAGGTCTCAAGATTTATATACAAGGTTCTGAAAAAGAATAAAATTAAAGAGAATAGATAATATTCCAAGTAAATGTAGTAATAATTAGTTCTGAGAAGGCCACAGTTACCATGGTAACATTAAAATTTCCTGGCACTGAACATGATATGTTATCATTAATTTTAGATACAGGTACAAGTCCATTATGATAGCACTGGGGCATAATGTGCATTCTTGGACAAGGGTATGCAATTAACTTTAACTGAGGGCACTGAGATATGTGATGGAGATCTGGTAATTGTACTAAAGTCTGACCAGCAGGAAGCAAGTTGCCACCTCCAGTGCTGCCAGGTTTAGTTCTGTATGTTCTCTTTTCATCCATGAAACACAAACAGTGACCTGCATCTGCTGTCTGACAGATTGCAGAAAAATCAGAAAGTTCTTCAGCAATGCTAGAATCATTTATTGCCAAGAGTTATCAGGCTGAATATATTCTCCCCACGTATAGATAGCTCTGTTTCAATGTAAATCCAGTATTAATTCCACAGAAGACAACATTTCCTGTACAAACCTAAACATCCTTTATAGTTTCCTGGAGCAGGAAACTAAATCAGTGAAATCCACTTTTATAGATGTCCTCATATAATAGGCTTCATTCGGTACATTAGATTTATGTACCAGTCAGGCTTTCATTTTTATTCTTGAGGTAGGAGGAATATAGGAAATCGCAATATAAATATAGACACACCGAGGACATTAAATCTTAACTGAGATTATCTACTTCACAGAGGAACCTTACATAGCTAGAGAGAAAGTGAAATGACAGAAAGAGAGCAAGGGAAAATGACTGCTGTGAGATACAGAGCATGTCCAACCACCTTGGCACAAGTCTGCAGCCAGGAATGTACAGGCTCTTCCTGAGAAAATCCATTTAGTGCATAGATGCGTTATAGAATGAAGTTTGTACAACTTTGTGGACTGAGCCTGTTTAGGCAACCTGTCTTTAGAAGAATATATGTAACTGGGAGCATGACACAGCAAGTATCAGAATAAATGGATTTCTAATTGCCAGTAATCTTACTTAAAGTTTAATAAACCCACAAAGTTTGGTGCATTTGGGCTGCTTAATGGTTTAAGCCTGAGATTGGCAGTTTCTCAGTGTTGATGGCTGCAGCTTTGTGGTGATTTGCCAAGCATAAACACTGTGCAAAGAATTATTTGAAAGGTCACTGAACAGTTGCTTTGTTTCATTTCTGTATATTTAGATTATTGATATCCACACGCCATTAATCTTTTTTTCTAAAACCCAAAAATGCAGTGATTAATGTACATATTAATAAGGAGAAAGCATGTGCCACCTGAATTTCTTTATCATTTGTGTCTGTACAGTGGAGTTTTATTAACCCTGATTAATACTATGCTACTTCATCAATCTGTTATCCTTGCACCTCATAGGAGTGGAAATTCAATCACACATACCACCTCATAGTATTGTAGCTAATTCAGTCTAGAGACAAGTGCATGAACTTAACCTAATATGTTTTTCCCTGCAGAGATTTAACATTAGCAGAGCTTAAGCAGCTATTGATTTATCTGTGCTGCTTAACCTTCCTGTGCTGATGAGTTGATGGAAAACCTTAGAAGAGTGTGTTTACTTATGATACTTTCTGGACCCATTGCCAGCTAAATCTCAGTCCCATCAAAATAAATGTGAGTTTTGCTACTGGCTTCAGGGTTTTACTTAACTGAAAGAACTCATCTTGAAGAGTCTAGAAACTTCTGAACCTGAAGTATAATGCACATTGGGAAATCATTTAAAAATCAACAACTTTTGCTGGCCAAAAAACCCAAATGCTTTTGGATTTGGATCTCTACTAAAGTGTCTGCAAATGAGCAGTTCTTTATTAGCTGAAACACATCTGTCTATACTAATGATAGCAAGAGCTGAGATCAAGTCAGAAGCAATGCTTATGGAAATTAAGCAAGGCAAACTTCTGGAAGTGCAAAAAGATTAGGAAAACAATGCATCTGAACTGAAATTTTTGAGTCTGTGGGAAAAAGAAAAAGCAGCTAAAAGAGAAGACTGACCTTTTCACTGTTTCCAGGAAACTTTTGTTGCGAATCAACATCCTCCAACCATATCTTCAGTTTTACTGGGGAATAGAGACAAGTTCCCAGCAAATACTGCCCATTACTACAATTTGAACACTACTCATCGTTCAGTCCATTCATACCATATTTTTATCAATTGCTTCATTGCATGTGTTAGATGAAAGCTCCAGTTAATCTTCTGGACAAAACTGTATAAAACTGAGCTTATAAAAATCCAGAAGTTGGACTGAGATGTAATTGTTTGTTGCCAACCATATGACCTATCCAGTCAAAACTGACATCCTCTCAGAGGATTTACTGGTGGAATAGGCTAAGAAGCTAGCCAAACAGTCTTTAGGTGAAAGTTGGTGGTTTTGTTGCTGAAATTGCTGATGTTTTGGCTCATATTATTCTGCAGAGTATTTAAAGTGTGTCATTAATGAATGACACACACTGACACTTGCTATCAGGACCTGTCAAATTACCAATTATGAATAATTTATGTGAAGTATTCTAGCAATTTGCATCCAGAATTTTAGCTGTGTGAAGACTGGTATTTTACAGAAACACAAAGCAAAAGAAAATGTTTCAAATAATTTGTTTGTTCTTTTTCTCCAGTCAAAAAACTCAGTGTGTACCTATAACATGATAAAAGATATGGGTTTCTCAGTGTGATAATAGAAATCTGCCTTTCAGAGTCATCTTTTCTAAAACAAGTTTTAAGATAACAAAAGGTTACAAGAGTCTAAGAATTTTTCATGGTAAGCTTTCTTCTTCATCATAGTTTCAGTCCAGCATAGTCAAGAACAGGGCTTCATAAAAGTCACCTAACTCTTTCTCTTCTTCTAACTTCTCTTTGAATTACTGGCAAGATTACAGTGTGCTGGCTGCAGGTAACTAAGCACACCCTTTCACACTTTACATCCTCATGTAGTTAATACTGTCCATACATCTGCATATACTTACACAAAAAAATCATTCAAATTGCACTGAACATGTGTATGGAGTGCAGGTTTGTACACTTATATGTGTACATGTACATGTGTGTATATACAAATATATTTGTAAACTGTACTGTAGATGTCATACTGACTTAGAATACATATATGACAATTGCATTTTTTCCCTAGGATTTAAATGGTAAATAAATGCATACTTGATATTTTGTCTTCAGTCTTTATTGGAGAAGTTGGCAGTTTACAGATAGGAAGACTGCACCTTAAAAGCCTATAGTATTTACTAGGTACTCCTGAAATATATGTGCTTCCAATGGGCAAATTGTCTGCTGATCTTATATAGCCCACAAATTTATGTATGTGAAGTATAGACATTTTCTGGTATTCTTTGACAGTATCATACTACTTTATATTCTATTTACTTTCTAAAACTTGGCATAGATTGCTCAGAAATGCCACTCAAATAAATGTTGGTGATATGTCAGTAGGTGCTGAACTGAAGTAGGTGCATGTGGCAGCTTGAGGAAGATAAAGGGTACATGGAATGCAGTTTATTGTGTAATGCAAAGGACGGAAGCAAGAGAAAGGTGGGCACGATAGTACCCACAGGTCCTCTACTCATGCATCGTTGCTATGTGAATTAAGTGAAATGGGATTCCGCATTTCTCTATTCAGACAAGTTTTTGTGGACTCTAAAAAAAATGAATCAATATTTGGTTTAGATTACCTGATATTCATCAGAGAACACCATTCGCAGATTCGGTATTTTGGTTGCAAGAAGGCTTCAAACTTACAATACTAGAAACTCTGACACTGTCCATGTCATGACCTAAGCAAAACATTTCATCTACAGAATTTATGTTTTTTAAATATTCCAAATGCCAAGTGTGTGCTCTTTGAAAGTCTTCTTCCATCGCTATTGATTTATTCAGTAACATTCTGAGAGAAAATCTGGGTGCATCTTTGAATACGATTGCATTTTAACATCTTCTAATGTCGTGTTGTTTATTCATATATTGCTTAAAATACTGCTGAAAATGCACAGAATACTGTGTGAAACCACTAAATGAAACTATTATTTTCCTTTGTTCTATGCTAATGGATTCATTAACGGCTGTTCAGTTATTATCAGGGGCATTCTTCAGTTGTTATATTAGAAAGATCTTTATCTAGCTTTAATGTGAATGTGTTCATTAAATATCTGAAAAAGAGCAGATGATCTTTCCTGCAGAAGAATAACCTCCAAGCTCTTGAAACGCTACCAAATGTTCTGGTAATTTCCTTGACTCTGACGTGTATTTGTTTATGCTCTTCAGTTTGGGTTTTTTTGAGGGTGAGATTTTCCAGAAGATCAGAATGAATTGTGTAAACATGCCAACAACAGTAAACAAGGAATGATAATATCACTTCTGTATTTGTAGTAAGCAGTGTAAACAATAACACTTTTTACAGTTACGTGCTTTGTCAATCTTTTCTAAGGCACAGAAAAAAACAGGCTCTTATAGCTTTACTTACATTGCCTTTAATTAGTGATGAAATTGCTTAATTTGTAGATGGCATTATTTTTGTTGCTTAAAGATTTTAATGCTTAATAATGATAGTTTAGTTTAAAGAGATAACACATAACATCAAAAAAAAAAGAAACATTTTGAAATTCCATCATTAATTAATGTTGCCTGACATCACATCTATTTTTGCATGTATTACAAGTATACTTCACTGTTTTTACCTGATGACACCTTTCATAGCTCTTTGTTTCTATGCACACTATTTTCAGATTCGTAGTGCCTTCCAATAATAAGCCCATTGGAGGTATAGTTTTGTTATATAATGTTAAGGAACTTGGTAGAGATGTCTCAATTCCTAGTGTAATTTTGTACAGTTTTATGAATTAAGATGACGTTAGCAGGTGGCATAATAGGTGATATATATAATTGAAGCTATGGGTAGCTATTATCCTTTCTAGAAGGAAAGCTTGTACATGACTTGAATGAGAAATTAAAACTGAAAAAAGGGGAATGTTTTATATAATACTGTATCTGATACTTTTCGAGCCCATAGTGATGGTGTGCAAAATCACAGGTATGGATTACAATGCAGAAATGCTGTGAAATAAAACCATACTGTGAGGTACCTGTGAGCCACGGTACCAGGCATGCCCATTTTGCTCTGCTTGTGTTACACAGCAAAGACATGTACCTTTGGTCTGGTACTTGCTCAAATGCTAAATGTTATAATCATGTAAATAACCTCATGAGTGGAAAAAAAAGAAGGTGGGGATCTGGGACAGTCATTATCCTTTTGAAAGCCGTGATAACACTTAGCATGTCTGAAAGTAATGTAAGCACTGAGTGTAAGTGCTATGCTGGATAATAGCCAGAGCACTCCACACACAGCAGACTACAGCGTCTGTTTTCTTGCAGCAGCAACTACTGACACTGTAGACAAACCATCTACATTTATCTTGCTGCCAGTTTCAGACCCTTTCCTGCTGGCACTGTTGCTTCCACTCATTCTGAATTGCACTTTAAGGCAAAACAAAAGTCCCTGTCAATGAGAGAAACAAAAAGTAAGTCCATAATAAATAGTACCATGTGGGCACAAGGACTCAAGCAGAAAGGGAGAAGGAAGAGCAAATTCTGAATTTTGTAGTGGCAGAACATAAAAGTATTCCTAGAGAGCAGCTGCAGTGCTGGGATCCCCAATCAGATAATTTCCTTGAGGCTTAAGGGAGCCAAGAGCTTTAGCCACCGTTGACAAATGGCCACTTTTACAGTCTGTTTTGGCTTTCAGGATTTTCTGTCGTATAAAAGGGAAGCTACCATTCAAATGTAAGTGATGGGCTTAGGGCAGAAATTAAAGTAGAGCCTTCTGTGCTTGTGTTATGTGGGAAGACAGATGAAACAGCCAGAGAGGTCCCTTCTGGCTTGAAGAGATCTGGGAGCTGTGCATAAAAGATTATGGCTTCCCACACAAGCTAGGTCAAGTGTGCAGGATAGATCTTGAGGGAGTTTTGAAAGCAGAGCGTTAGGGCCTGGCAGGTCAGAAAGGGTATCCCTCAGAGAATAAATTAGTGTCAAGCTCCTAAAATAAATCATATTTGGAAATACACAAGTGACCCATTTGCTTTAGTTACGTTTGTCCCAAACTTGTATGTGATTTCCCATAAAGTTTGAATACATGCGTGGCTATAGAGGGTAAATTCTAAACTTTCATGAGCAACTGATAATGTATTTTAAACTCATCTGTGCCAAAACTATATAACATGTGGGGCACAGCGGCTCCAAAACACTTGTTCTCTATGCCAGAGTTTAGACAACCAAATAAATCAGACAAGCATCTGGCCTCATTGTTGCAGTCAGAACTAGACATGAGGAATTACTTTGTATGAATGTGATGAGACAAAATTAAATTTAAACTTCTAACATAGTCAATAAATTTTACAATAGTCTAATTTTTCAAGGAACCTTGCCTCAAGCAAGAGCCACAATGGGAAAGATATATATATAGTTCTTAACTTCTAATGCTGAATATCTGTTTTCTCCATTTAATAGATTCAGTGCTTCATCAGTTCTATAATTGCACTTACCCAGTTAAGAACTAGAAGTACGAAGGCTGCTCTGAAAGTAATGCCTCCTATTTTGCAATATTGGCCCATGACATCAGAGGTGGATGGTGGGGGTATGGCAATGGAGACAGAACCATCTCAACAATATTCCATTACACTAATAAGTCATATAAACATCAGCTTTTCATCCATCCTGCAAATAGCACAAGAAAGTGTCTCCATCAGTGACTGAGATGTGATGTGAAAGCTCCACCTATTTTAAATCCATACAGTTCTCTCTTCACACGTATTTGTTATTCATGACCTTTCAAATATTACTGTATTCAGATGGTAGTCTTGACGCATTCAACCTATGGACCATCTACCTGTGGAGGAAGATATACGAGTCTGCCTTGTCATCAGAAACTTCTCTGAGAGGTAAATTTTAGATATGTTTTCTTTCTAACGTTATTATATTGCCAAGATTTTTCACCTCTGTTTAAAAGCTTTATAGTTACCAAACATCAGTGACAACTGAAAAGGGGCTAATGAAAAAGTTACTAAGGAAGGAAAGAGATCCCTTAGAAGTTTTTTTTTCAGAAATGAGGCTCTGAAATTATGATAACGTGAACAGAATATCAGATTTTGAAACCGAAAAAAAAAAATACTCATGAAACTGAAAGAAATGTTGGTCCCCTCTAGTAGCTGCAGCCAGCCCATCCTGTTTTATACAGCCATTATTCTGAAATGGCCTATTTTTATTTCAGAGCACCTTCATACTTCATACTACCACCAACATTCGCAGCAGTAAATAAATTCATTCATCTGAATAATCTCACTGAACATGTGTAACAGTCTATGTTACAGTAAATTCTGGGTGGAAGGAGATAAAATAAGCCTCTGTTCCTCAAATCAGTGCTCACCAGGACACAGCCCCAGCATTAGCCAACATCTCTGTCTCCTTTGTGCTGTCTTATCTGTGCCTGGGGTGAGTGTAGAAATCAGAGCATGGCTGGCATGGAGTAGCAGAGGCTAGGAGAAAAAAATACAACCAGTCCAGTAGGATGACTGTAGAAATAAGTATGTCTTACTGTAGGCAAAATTGCTTACCATTATTCCACTGCAGGTTCTTTGGAAATCCTTGTTACTTGCAAGTCTTTCTCATTTAAACTTTTCAATTGCTGAGAGCTTCTGATGTGAAACATATGACATTTTTTATTCTTGCTTCCCTACTGCTCTGCATGCCCCAGAGTCTACACACCAATAAAAATTATCTGAGTGTTTCTACTTCACAAGAAACTCTACCTAAAGAAACTTAAGAAACTGTCTGTTTAAAATTTCATCAGTTTTCATTCTAGTTATATTTTTATTTAGACCCTCCAATTTATTCACACGAATATTTGTTTGGGTGCAGTTATAACTATTTTTCCTTTTTTTAAACCCTTCCATGTATTAGATCTGTGTTGAAAACTACTTCCACTTATTTTGCACTCCAACTTCTCACTACTTTTGTTGGCTTTATGTAAATATTTTCTTTTAGGCAAGAGATTTCAAGGCACTTCTAATGGTTTTTTAATGCAAAATTACTGAAATTGCCTTCATTGGTTCTTTTTCCTCACCCAGATTTAAAATAGGATGTTTTTATAGACTACAAATTGAAGCAGGAAATTCATGTCTGTGCTAAGAGAAGCATAAGAAAATACTTTAAGCTTTCCAAACAGAGTTGCTGTGAAACACAGGCATTTTGTTGTGCCTTCTCTCATCAGGACTGGCTTTTATTCTAAGCACCAGAGATCTCAGACCACTTTAAAGACTAGCCACAGTTTGTGTAATCAATCTTTATTTTTCTGCCTCAGAGTTTTCATATTGTCTATAACTTATCTGTACTTCTGCCAGAGTCAATAAATTCATGTGCAAATTAGAGTATTTTAACAGCCAGAAACATTGCATTGACTAGAATAATTCCATGAGACTTGCATGTGCTTGTGAGACATGTGTGTGTATGTTTCTACACTCACATTTCAGACATGTCTGATGAGTGAGAAATGCCAGCTGCTGTCCCATGGCAATACACTGGGCTGACGATAAAGTAGCTGCAGAAAGAACCTTTAGAGAGATTGAATACCAGAGTTTTACTATGTGGCAAGAAAGAATCAGCTCGGGTGGGATTGCTATGTATCATCAGGGGTCAAATCTGCATGCTGTTTACATCAATGTAGCAATATGAACAATGAGTGTGACCATTGGAATTGGGCTCAATGTTTATCAATTACTGTTGATATCCAATTATCAAAGCACAGCTGAATTCCATACAAGATGTCAGCACAAATAATTATAGACAATTTTCTCCTACTCCAGAAACTGACCTGGATGGTTCTCTCTGTGCTTCGTGAGTATTTGAAAAAAATTGTATTTCAATCCATTTTGGTCAACTTCTGAAGTCAGAGGCTAAAGTCAGCTGAAAAAATGTGTTCCCTTTTTGCCTATTCCAGAAGAGATGTGGAATTGTTGCACTCACGGCAACCATTGTCTTTCCTTGTGGAAGAAATTCAACGTTATGACTTAACCGAATCATCACAGAGGAGAAGCAGATGGGTTTTTGTGAGAGAAAGATCCCCACATAGTTTTTAAAAATGTATCTTTTTTAATCAGAAGAATGTCTGGGAAAATGATGAGAACGCAAATAGCTACTTATTACAATAAGCTGTAACAAAACTCCCTGAAGTGAGTTAGTGCATTTTATTTTATCACTGAATTACATTTTAATATAAGCTCCCATAAAAACTAACTTAGACTTTTACACTGACTTGTAAGGAGTATATGCTATATTCAATAATCCTTGTCAAATAAAGGCACAAATCTAATTAAGCAATAAATCCATAAAAATTGTTACACACAGTTAATGAGTGGCTTGTATTTTCATAACAGCAATGGCATATTAAGAAAGCATTAGCTGTTGTAGTATGGCTGGAGTAGTTATACTGATAAATTAGTCATTCTGGCATTTCATGACTGACTTTTAATCACTTCGAGTTGCAGAGATGTGCTTGGTTTAGAATTTGTGCTATTATTCATAAATTCTATTAAAAGAGAGTTAATCTAAGTATCTATCCATATTTGTAAGATATCAGTTTTACAAAATGAGTTAGTTTTTCATCTCAGCAGAACAAGCAGCTCTGGCTGACAGCAATCTAGAGTTGATACTAAAAGTTGGGACCAAAACCACCAGTTTATAACTACAGATTGTAAAATCAGTGTTTTTAACAGGAATCTAATAAAGAGATACATTGCTGTAATATGTTGGTTTTAGGAATATGACATTAGTTGAACTCATATACTCTGGTCTTAATGACAGGAAATGTCTCAACCTTAGTTCATAATTTGAATTAATCCAAAGTTAAAACGCCAATAGTATCTACTCCTCTCTCCTCCACTTTCAGTACTATGCAATTTGGTGGGTTTTGTTACTGTTGTTTGTGGATGGTGTTTTCTGGAAAGCCAGTTACTTACAGGCTTCTTCCTGTTGCATGTTAATCCTACTGAGCAGCACTTGGTTCCTGTTTATTTATCTGATTCTGGTAAGCAGGCGCGTGCACACTCAGTACCAGCAAATCCACTAGTCTGTGGGAGCCGGAGATTAGCATCTGGGGACCAAAGAGTGGTGATCTGCTTGGGGTTAATGCCCCTTTTTTGGGGTAATGCTGCTCCCCAAGCCCTTACTCTCACATCAGGGAGGGTCTTCACCGTTATTTACATAGCAATTGTGCTACCTCAATTTGGGACAGCAAATGTCTGTGATGGAGTCTCTATATTGCTCTGGCTTCAGACACTGCTACCTTCTCTCACATATTTCATAAATGTGCTTTATGTTGATCACATGCCTTTAAAATTCTGCTGAATGGAATAAAGGATACCAAACAGTAAATTGAAAAGGTATAAAAATGGATCTGTCACGTATCCTACAGTATATCTGCAATTTCTGCAATGCTTTTAGCAGTAAGGAAGAGCCAGGTGGTGTTTTTATTTCTAACAGATACCCATTATATGCAGCTGGTTTAGTTTTTAGTTTAGATGTTGAAAATGTGTATGGAACTTTTAGCTGTTGTAATATGTTTAGTAATAATACTCCGTGTCCCTGAAGCCCACTCCAGCTGGAGATATAAATCATCTTAACAGGCATTAATAAATTAGAGTCTAAAATACCTTTACCTTCATTTAACTTTTATTTTGAAAAAGAAACCCTTTATTCCTCTTTAAAATGAATCTAAGATATCTGTTGTTTTTAAAGAAATAGCACTCGGTTTATTTATTGTTCATATTTATGGAAAAAAAGCTGGTAAAGTTTATAGGCCAGCTCTATTTATATATATCTTTCAGAGCAAAGGCCTGCACTTGTTCATGAATGTCAGAGGTGAAAATCAAACTTCTGCAGAAAGGTCACAAAGCTTTCAAGATTTGCTAGATACTCCAAGAAAATCTTGTATAGGATTTAAAAAATCGGTAGGATTTCATGTGTGAAGAGGAAAGAACTACAGAAGCTGAGACATCATTCATCTTTGATTCATCATTCTTCTTAACTGCACCTGAAACTTTTTCTTTTAGACATGTGTTACTATATAAATTTCCCCCATAGAGTCACATACTGTAAAATTGTGTATTATTTTTTCTTGAGTAGGTTCTCCTCTTTTTCCACTAAGATGTGATAAGTATTTAAAGGAAATAAATGTGTTGAGCTTGTGGTAAAAACATTCATCTCTATTTTTTCACTTGTGTGTAGAGATCCTGTCTCAGAGCACAGGTGCTGGGAGTGAATCCTATAAACAGCCGCATCCTGACACTTTTGGGGCTGTGAAGGCTTAAGCAAGGGAGCTAAAAGAGAACTAAAAGATGGAACTTGGAAACTGATCTCCTGTGTGGATGAATTTCTCCAAAGACAGAATATCTTGCATTATAACTCATATTTTATAGCTGATCATAGAATCATAGAATCATAGAATGGCCTGGGTTGAAAAGGACGTCAATATTCATCTAGTTTCAACCCCATGCTATGTGCAGGGTAGCCAACCACCACACCAGGATGCCCAGAGCCACATCCAGCCTGGTCTTGAGTGCCTCCAGGGATGGGGCATCCATAACCTCCTTGGTCTACCTGTTCCAGTGCGTCACCACCCTCTGTGTGAAAAACTTCATCCTAATAGCTAACCTAAACCTCCACTGTCTCAGTTTAAAACCATTCCCCCTTGTCCTATCATTATCCACCCATGTAAACAGTCATTCCCCCTCCTGTTTATATGCTTCCTTTAAGTAATGGAAGGTCACAATGAGATCTCCTCAGAGCTTTCTCTGAGCTAAGCAATCCCAGTTCCCTCAACCTTTCCTCATAGGAGAGGTGCTCCAGCCCTCTGATCATCTTAGTGGCCCTTTGCTGGTCTTGTTCTGTGTCTTTCTAATGTTGAGAGCCCCAGGCCTGGGTTCAGTACTACAGATGGGGCCTCACAAGAGCTGAGTAAAGGGGGACAATCACCTCCCTCTCCTTGCTGGCCACCCCTTTTTTAATGCAACAGTTGGCCTTCTGGACTGCACTAACTGCTGGCTCATGTCTAGTTTCTCATCCACCAGGATGCCTAAGTCCTTCTCTGTGAGTCATACTCAAACTTGCCAGAAATACTAGAAAGTTTAGCACGTGAGAGACAAGGGGGTAGTTGACAGCTTCAAAAGTTCATCTGATCCAGGAATCTTGGATGGAGCTTGTCTGAAACTAGAAGGTTGCCTGCCTGCCTATGTTACTGTAGGCAGCGGGAGAAAATTGGTTGGACTGGATGATCTTGAAGTTCTTTTCCAACCTCGGTGATTCTGTGATTCTGTGTAAGTTGGATAAAAGATAGGTGGCATGCTGTCTGCGTGGATAATCATAATATCACAGAATCATTCAGGTTGGAAAAGATCTCTAAGGTCATCTAGTCCAACTGTCTACATACCACCAAATGATGCGAGTAAACTTGCTCTTATTCTATTTATGCCTTCAGGATCTAATCTGGCAGGGATTCACATAGCTCCATACAAGTCTAACATTAATTAATTCTTCCGTTCGCTGGCTTGTGTAGATCATAGCAGCAGATGAATGATTGCATGGCTTTACTGTAGTAATAAAGATGAATTCCATGGTATGTCATCTTTTTGAAGATTAACAAGATTGATAAAAAACTACTGAATACACTGTTACATTGTAAAAGAAGGAAATCTCCCCAAATTGTTTAAAGATGTTGTAAATACAAGAAATTGGGCTCGCTTTTCTTTTGTTTTCTAGAAATTGCTATTATTTTTATTAAGTCATTATTTCTTTCAATAATTGAGTTTGCAAGTCATTTACATATGACAGTAAAGTGCTTTAGTACATCTGACAGTAAAGTCAGAGAAGCCACAGAAAAACTGTTTGTTCAGATATAGGATAATAAGTATTTTCCTTATGGTCACCATTGGATAAAATTCACCCAGTGAAGAGCAGTAGTTCATGTGTGTGTGAATGAAATTTAATTAGAACTTATATGACATGTATAATTGCTTTCATGAAGACATTTCCCACAGGGGCAAATCTCACTTCTTTTTATTCCACGATCAAGAAATTCATAAAAAAACATTCCAGAGTATAATTTTAGTGGTGGTTTTTTTTGTTGTTTTTTTTTTTTTTTTCCCCCCTCATTAGTCCTATCTTCAACTTAACAAGACATCAACTTTAAAAACATCTGTCCACTGTTGAAAGGTCCATGAACAAATTAAGAGTGCATTTCAGTTTTACGATAGCTATCACAAGTCATCCACTTAAGAATATTAAGGTACTACCACAAAGACTTTCATATTTAGAAAATGCAGTTTTCTTATCAAAAGAATGGCAGAAAGAAATATTCATATGTAGACTGAGAAGTGATTTAACGTTAATTCACCTCTTAAACTGCTATGTGTCCTTTTACATCTAGTTGAAATCTTATAACCTGTATATTCTCATTATCTTTCAGTTGATACTCTCTCAAAATTTCTTCTATTTCATTTTTGTAAAGCTTCCCGGTACAAGTATAGAACATCCTTACAAAGACCATGGAGTATTCCTATATTCTTTAAAATGTATTTGTCCAAAAATATCTCTAAATCTAAATGTGTACTTGTATGCTTTGCAGTTATTCACTGTCAGCTAAAGAATCTTTCTAGAATTTGTGCTGATATTCACAACCTGATTGCCAAATGGTCACATGGTATTTGTCTTTTGCTGTAGGAAGGCCAACACAATGCTTTCCATGGAGATGTTTACAAGGTTTGTAAAGGGCTGAAAGGCATTTGGGACCACAGAGCTTGTGAATAACTGGAAGGCTGCCCAGGAGATCAAGGATGTATATTGACTTAAAGAGAGAAAACAGGTTGGCATGGATGGAAGCTGAAACTTATTCTCAGGAGAGGCAAGAAGGATTGCCAGTTACACAATTTCAATTCTGTATTTTCACTTTTCTTGTAATGTTTCAACCTACAGTATCAGTTTCTTTAGTGAAAGAGTCAAAGCTACACAACTGTGCTGCATCAAACAGGGCACTGAGTTGGTCAGCTGAACATCCAGAGACTGCAGTGCCAGAAAGCAAGCTAAAGTATGGATAAACACTTCACTGTTTTTTGCTAGTGCTTCAGCCCATTTCCCGGTCTTGTTTACTTTACAGATATGTATGTAGCCACCTGTCTGCCAAAGCTGTAACTTTTCCATGAAGTCATATTTATTAGTAGAATAATGAATGAGACAGATAATCAATTCTGCATTTCAAATATGGCCTCATTAGTGCCCTTGTTTAGTGTCAGGGAGAAAATATCTAGCAGGTTGCTTGGCATTTCTCTTCTCACTTTTGGGAATTACATTCCCCTTGCTTTATATTCTTCACCTATTGTGTTGAATTTGATTCTAGCCAGTAAACCTATAATCCTTAGCTTGCATCATGCTGTATGTTTATGAATTTTGACTGGTTGTTTCTTTCCCTGTCCCTCGGATTTGCTAACCTGTTACTCCAAGTTGTGTAAACTGCTTAGTCAACCTAAGCTTGTTCTGAAGAGCAGCTGAGGACACTGCTGTGGTCCCCATGCCATGCACAGCATGAACATTGCAGCTGGGCAGAAGTATTTATTCATATGAGTGTTTCTCATCTTAATGTAACTTACTATCTGTTTGCAAATGCACTATGATCTTCCCATTCTTGGCTTCTTCTCTCATTATGCTTCAGAGCTTCTGTGTCATTGATTGTTCCTTGCAGCCTAAGAGAATCATTTCCTTTAAAGCAGTTCCAGCCTAAAGCACTTTACACCTGTCTCCTCATTTTTGTCAATCACTTGTTGTTACCCCAAACCCATCTCCTTTGATCTCAATCCAGTTGTGTTTTTGTATTTGTTTGTTTGCACCAGAACTTCAACAAAAGAACAGATCTGGACTGCAAACGACTTCATTTTATGTTAAGAAGGCATCATTAGCAGTTATATTGCACGGTATGGCTGATGATCTTTTGCAGCAATATGAAAACACCAGAGAAAAGGTTGAGCCTGAGAAGGAACAACTGTGACTAATCAGTGAAGTATATAAGCAGACACTGCATCAGGGAAATGGCATATAGAAGCCTCACTCAATAAAAGTATCTTTTGTATGATATTTTTAAATGATTGTACAAACTACAGAAGTCTGGTAGCATCTTTTATACCTACATAATTTTCCAAAACCAGCTGATGGAAACTGAAACTACCAAGTTTCAGAGCAGTACTCTGATTTTTCTGTTCTCTCTTAGGAGGACTTATCACCACCACATTTTTCTCTCCCTTTTTCTCCTTTGTATCTTTACTCTTACAACTTACAGTTATAATTCTCTCGATTTAGTAATTAGTCTTTGTCACCTCATTAATTTTAATTTAACAAGACTCTTCACCTTCATCTAGGAATCACTGCCTTTGTATTTGGGAATTTTTAAGTCATGTATTATGGTATCTTTCAGTCATGCATGATCAGCATCTAGGTGACTACGAGTCATTTTTTAAAAAGTTTTGTCTTTGGTCTGCTATTACTGCAGTATTGTTTTTAAGTTAATTCATCCTTTCTTATCTAAACTTTCTAAATTGTGAATGAAATAATGAATAGAAATACAAATTCCCCATTTTTTGAAAGCATTGTACCTGAAAATTCATAATGTAGATAATTTGTTAGGATTCATTTATATTTGAAAATGCGTGCAAATTGAGATAATTTGCCATGAATCAGTGTGTCGTCATGTAACTCAGAACCCCAACCAAATTGTAATGTCTCATCTGAGTGTTAGTCTCAGTTCATTAATTGCATAGTATTCTTCTGATTTTACATCATTAGCTTTTATTTTTTGAAGTTCAGTAAGTAAATATGTGATGATCTGAACATTCCCTTCATTGCTTTCTTTTATTTCTAAAATGAAATATTTGAACAAACAGATTTCTCAGTCTTCCTTCTAATCTGATCCACTTCTGCATCTAAGTACTAAAAGTGAAAAATTAACTGTAGTAAATTTCAACATGAAACTACAATAACAACTGTCTTGCTTTTCATATCTAACTTCCAGTATGACATATTTAATTATGGTAAATCCTCTAAGGATAGTTTTTCTAATATCTCAAAGCACCCATCAGGACTGGGAAAAGGGCATTGTATTTTACTGGGAGCATGCGTGGTGTGCTGGGTACCAGCCAGGCAAATAGACTTAAGTCAGTGATGCAGTTTCAGCTAACATCAGGAGTTTCTTTCCAGTGTTTTTGTGCACGATGAAGTGTTCTTTCATGTGTGGGCAGAGCCAAGAACTATGTAGAGTAAGGAAATATTTGATATGAAACCAGCAATATAGTATCCATTGGGTTACTAAATTGATAATTACATAATGCTGTGCTGGATGTAGTCATTTTCATTTCAGAAGCAGCATGAGATTGACATAATGACCTTCTTAGCAGTATCGTTTTTAACCACTGGTTCTCAGCTGAGTATTACTTGCTACCTTTGAGATTCCTTCATTCTCTTTTCTGATAATAAAGGAATTACCCTCTTTTTCCTTCCTTCCATTGAAATATAAGCTGACCTAAATATTTATGCCTTTTGGGTAACCATCCTGTGGGGAATTAGTGTTTGTCAATTTAATTACTTAACTTTTTTCTTTTCTTTAAATGGCTTCTGTAGTATTTCTATTTATTTTTTAAATTGTTTAAATAACTTGATTCCACCATTTTTTTCTTCAATTTTCACAATCAGCACAGCCATATCCAATAAAAAACATAGACAATGATTAATTTTCTCAAACATTAAGAAAAGATCATTCATTTGTTGGTATTGCCTCCCCATCCCATTTAAAAATGAACAAACAAATGCAGAACTCAAAAGATGTGTCTGGGGGAGAAATACCAGTTGCATTCATCTTACTTCCTTTGTCCCATGGGAACAAATGGGTAAAAGAAAATAGACATAAACTTCAGTTTCTGGATGATAGATTTTACCTATGAGAAGCACATCAAGTGGTTCACTTTACTTGTATGGGCAGAGAAATTTGGAAAACAAGACCATCTGCATGCAAATTTTTTTTCTTTTACTGTAGATTTGTACCAGAGTAAATTTGTTAACTTCATTTGGCTTTATTCCAGGTTTTGATTAATGTGCAATAAGTAATAAGCTCAAACAAGATGTTGTTAATACAAGGATGACTATGCTAACAGGTAAGCAGCTGTTGTGTGGAACACAAAGTGAATATTTTAGGAATCTGCATGACATTAGCATAAGCAGTGTACTTGAGCAATTCACTCTGGTTTTCCTTCTGCAAGCTCTGACCACTATCACCACACTTTTTAAACAGCAAATACTCAGAGAGGCCGTGAAAGTGGAGATTAATTTAAATGCCACTAGACAGAGATTCAAACAGCTCAGCTCCCAGAACAACGCTTCTTCTCTTCCTCCTGAGGAGCATGGCGTATGAGGGCAGCATAACCAAACCAAACTTCAACCATACTGCAGAAGTTTATGAGGATCACCTTCTCCAAAAAATTGGATCCTTGTAATAGAAAGCACACTGTAATTGGAGAAAAAAAAAAAAAATTCCTTCTCAAATTCCCCTCCCTGGTAAATTCTCAGTGCCCTTCTGTCAAGGTTTCAGTAATTGACTGCATTTGGCTTTGTGAAGATATTTTGAAGCAAATATATTCACACTCAAGTAATTGGGGTTTCTTTTATTTTAATTTATTGTTACAAAAAGCAGCATGAAAAATGCAAAAGAGGAAAATTTCCCATGTCTCCATGAAATAATATTGCAAATTACCCATAATCTGATTTTATAAATATTTGGGCCTTATATATATTGGGATTATTATTATTATTACACACTTTACCATGTACTCTCTGAATCATAGATTTTTATAAAACTCTAATTTAAGAATTGATGACCATGCGGAATACATAATAAAGTCCAAAACAAAGAACTAATAATTACTTAATGCACAAAAAGAATCACTGAAGATATAGACTGTTTCTTCTCAAAGTCCATTCTGGCTTCTACAGATAACAGAAGAGAGATAGAAATTCTTACTCTTATGTGTACTTTCTTACTTTCAACTGATATCATAGCAAAATGTTAAACCAGGCATTAGTCTTCATTAAATCTGTCAGTATAAGAGTCAATAAAGGAGGCACAAGAACTTCAATAAATAAGCTTGTCTTAAAGAATATACCTTTTCTCAAGCTGTCTTTATTGGGCAATTTTTTAAGTTTTACTTTTAACCATACTTTTCTTATTGTTATTGATGACGTACCTTCATCTTTATCAATGTTTATTTTATCCTAAAGAAATATATTTGTATTCTGCCACTGAAGTTTGGATGAAAAATCTTACAATAAAAATCATGTGTATTTACAAACAATCACATAAACTGTCCAGAATCAAAAGGGCTTTTTGCTGAATATCATGGGAACCGAACTTAGTCTCTGAAGTCATATTGAAGAAAATGTGATCTCTGCAAGAGAAACATGCTAGGGGTAATTTCTTTCATTCACTACCTTCTGTCTTGCAGAGAATACCTTATGTACTAACATATGGGAGCAGGGAAATTGAGTCTACTCTTGTTGCAGAAGCACTGTATGAAATGATTTACTTAGTTGGGTGGGTAGATAAATCATAATTAGTAAGACCACCATCAGCTGACATGTATGAAGATAGGTACTGCCTTTTTCATTGTTGTCTACATATTATAATCTTACAGTCGTTATTTATTGAAGTTGGCCTCTAGCACGTAGCTTTTCTTGTGCAATTCCTAACAATCTCCAGGGGTGATTTCAACAGCAGCTGCTACTTTTAATAGTGTAAGCAAGCAAGGAAGGAAGATGCTTTTGGCTATGAATGCGAATGATTAGCTCAGGATGTAATTTGTATCTCAGAATTGTTTTGATAGCTCAGCATTTTCTTGGCTTTTTATCTTTCCCCAATGAAATAACAGTCTTTTCAACTTCAAATAAGTCCTGTCTATCTTGGAGTTACACAAATGATATCATGAAGAATTCAACATTGCCGCTACTCATATATTAAAACTAGTAAGTAATCAACGAAATATTTAAGACAAATTCAAACTCTCAAACTTCTACTTAAATCATCTTTTAAATATCCACAGATGCACAAGTCTAAGAAAAGCGCACTAGAGCCAAAGTCAGCTTTTCAAACATTGTTGTTTATTGCGATAGATTTAGATTGCAAAAATTCTGTTTAAGTCCTTAGCTGATATATTTCATGGCTGCTTTTGGAAGATTTCCTGTGTCATGCTGTAGCAGGGTCTCCAAATTGTTCCTTCTGTCCTACTGAAAAAAATTATCATTATCGTGCTTTGCACACGTGGGCAATATTTAGGCCAATTGATTATTGGATATTATGACACAGTACAAGCTGGTTGAATAAGGCGATTTTTTCCTCCTTTATGCAGGTGAGAATTGTGAAATGCAAATGAATCGGGAGAAAAAGAAACAGTCTCAAATGGCACAGTAGTTATTTCTGATTATGAACAAAAGCAAAGCCAAAGGTGAGGACTACAACTCTGGTAGCCTATGATTTTTTTCTCTTTATGTGGCCCAATTCATTCCAAATTACAGTCCCTTTGATTCTACTGGATCTAGGGTTTATGTTGACCTTTTCTTCGTGACTGCCAATACCAGCTTCCTTTCAAAGAAGTGTAAAGTTAATTGGAACAAATCTAGTGTTTCACAGTGAAAAATTGCCTCAAAAATATTGAAATTACTTTTTTTCTTGACAGACCTTTTCTTAATTCTCTGCTTTGGCTTCATGGTATAGAAAACAAGCCAGGAAGTGACTGCCATGCAGAACTTCTATTGGCAGTTCTCTGTGCTGACTAGTACAAAGAATTAGGAATAGCATTCTTAAATTAAAAAATATCTAATATTTACCATATTTTTGTTAATAAACTATATTTCTTCAGTATAGTAACATTACAGCAGCTTCAGAAATGTTTATTTATGAGGAAAAAATGTCATTCTCACTGTATTTAATGCCTACATTTTTGGTGTTTTTTGTAATGCCTACATTTTTTACCCTTAGGGTTTGCTTGCAGGGATCAGAGAAAGGATGTTCTTTTACTAAACATTTCCCTAAATTTTCACCTGCTGTCATTAACCCCAGAGGACTTGAATAACATTACCTGATAATGTAATTTCAGTTAAAAGCAAATAATTGGCACTTGTTTGAGGTTGAGGACTGTAAGATGCTTTTCAAAACACTGGGGCTCATGAGAGAAAGGATTTTCCTCATGACAGCTATAAGTATTTCTGTTTACAGTATGAAGATCATGTATGTAGATATATATATTTAAATTAGGAATAACACTGGATTCTGGAAAGCTGTTGTTTAATCACAGGCTACTTTACCACTAATTTGCCAGTCTTAACAGACTGAACTTTTTGCTTTGACCAGGGCAGGGTTGTTAAAATGTGCTTTATGGGATGGGGGTTAAGAAAGACAGTGACTATTGTTTGTTGTTTTTTTTTCTCCTGCTTTTAATGTCTACAAGAAATTAGATGATGGTGGTACATAAATTTTACATTAACTACATTTGTATTGTTGTATTTAAAAAAGCATTGCTAAAATGGAATGTAGCATGCATGTGGAACGGCAGCATTATTATACAAACCAAACTATGCCAATGATGGTAAGATACAATCCAGTTCCTGTTAAGACTAATAAAGGAAGTTCTAAATTCAACTGGACTACATTCAACCATGTGTTTCTTTAATTATCCTTTCTTTGATAACTGTGATGCATGAGGAAAGAAGCAGAGATGAGAAATAGCTGTAAAAGTTCTAGCTGTTATAAAATTATCTGACCTTAGCTGTTATAAAATTACCTGACTTAAATCTGGCCTGAATTATCTTTGGTTAAATAGGATGCTTTCTTAGGGAATATAGTTGAAGAATGAGTACAGAAAAAGATCTAAAAAAGAAGTACATAGTACATACAGAAAAAGAAAGAACATAACTCCTTAAATCAATGCCAATTGGGAAACAAGAAAACAATTTTAGGAAGTGGAATCAAATTACTCTTTCACGTGCTGAAATTAAATGCATCTGTAAATAACTAAGTGGTTCTAAGTAGGGACCAAACTTCTTACTTTCTCATATTAGGAGTATCGTATCAATGATTTCTGAATAGAAATGTTTTATAAAAGATGTAAGCAACTTTAATTCTCTCTATGATCCTTCTACTTGTTTTTGATTTAACTTGCTAACTAGTTCAAGTAAACATTTTGCAGTGTTGGGACTGCTGGAGCTCCTGGAGGGGAGGAAAGGCTGCCAGGCTGTCCCTGTGGATGCACACTGATATAACTTGTGCTGCTTTGAAGCTTGGGCTGAAAGGAAAATTTGTGAAGAAGAAAATAGGATTCTCTTTCAGTTCACCAGTTTTCCTGTACAATGTACATGGATGTGGCCATGTGGATGTCTAATGGAGAAAACTGTTAGATGGACTTAGAGCAGCATGGAACATTGTTTGGGTTCTGGCCAGACACGTAAGTGTCCAACCCTGCCTGGTGAATATTTGCAGGGGAATAGAGCATCTTGAGAAACTTGATGAGTAGTTCAGATACAAATTTAAAACTGTTAATGTTAGCGATAGTCGCTCCACAGAGTCTTGTCCTCTGAAACAAAAGTACAAGTCACACCCCATCAACAGAACAATCAAGGCAGGAAAACAGTTACTAGTTTCTGAAAGCTGATGGCCTGGTTTTTAAGTGGATTATTTTTGTTCTTGTTGCCGAAACATTCTGCATCAGATGCTAACTGCCACTTCCTCTTAATTCAGCTTTTCTATGTGAGTTACCTTGTTGAGTATGTAACTCCAACTGTATCTCCAAAAGTAATATCTCATAGAATAACATAATGGCTTTGGTTGCAAGGGACCTTAAAGTCCATCTTATTTTCAGCTCCCTGCCGTCAGGGCTGCCAGCCAACAATTCAGTCTGTCCAGGGCCCCATTCAGCCTAGCCTTGAATGTAACCAGGGATAGGGCATCCACAACTGCTCTGGTCAACCTGTGCCAGTGCCTCAACACTTTCTGAGTGAAGAATTTCTTCCTGACCTAACTTAAATGTCCCATCTTTTAGTTTAAAGACATTACCCCTTGTCCTGTCACTATTAGGCAATACAAAAGTTGCTCTCCTTATTGCTTATAAGCCTCCTTCAAGTTCTACTTATTTCAGTGGAAAATAAAACAGATAGAAAAAGCACAATAACACTGCTCTATAGAAGAAATTCTCAGCTACAAAACCCTATTTTTCAACGTTGTCACCACCATTAGCCAATTCATGGGGATGAGGCTGATCAAGATGCTCTCCGTTTCATGTTGTGGCGGTCTTGATGCCATCCAGAGTGTGGTTTGTCTTTCACATCACAGTCACCACTCCTGAGCTTCACCACCCATTGCCTCACTGTGCTCGCATCCACTTTTTGATCTCTATAAATGTTCAGCAACTGTCAGTGATTGTCAAGGCGTGCAAATTCTTCTGCATGGAGGAACTTAGTTCCATGTCTTTACTTCATACACACTTCCATGTTTGACACCACTTTGTCAGACTGCCCCTCTGCTGCCATCTGTTTCGTGATAAAAAATTGTAACAGAATATTGTTGAGAAGGTTCACTCTCTAGGGTCATAACACCAACATCTGCCTCTGACTTCATAGACCAGCATAATAAAATAGGAAGTATTACTTTCAGAACAGCCATTATGCATGGATTTCAGCCAAATTTTTGAGACAGATATGTTAGCATCATGTGTAGTGTAAGTCTAGAGATGTAAATTGTTTCATTTAGTAAATTGCTTAGGGCTTTTAGGCCAAAGTAGACATTGATCTATTAGCATTTATTGGCTCATTAAGTCTAATAACTGTAGGCAAAGGATTTACAACAGTATTGGGATTTTAGTTCAATCACATTGCAGTTTTGCATTTTTGTCTGAGAAGTCTTCAGGTTTTACAAAGTTTTTCTCAACCTTTGCTTTACTTGCTATTATATTCAGATGAAATGTTTTTTCATAGCTGGACAATGAAAATGTTCAATGGCAATTCAATAATTGTGAACATCATCACCTGCAGATCTGTTCTTAAAACTATGTTTTTCAATTTTGCTTCGAAAGAAAATAGCAAACAAAGAAACAAATATAAAGCCTCACAGCAGGTCATCTTCCTATTTTTCTTTAATGTCTGTAAAATCCCAAGTTGCTCAGATATCATTAATAATGTCTAACCAATTTTCTCAGGAAAAGTCTGGAAAGTCTTTTCAGAATTTGCACTCTCTAATTAAAAAAATTCACTTAATGTCACCCTACCAGTTTCAAACTGAGGTGAACATTTAAGTGTGTGGACAAAATCAAAACACAATTAGACTTTACATAGCTCCCCACATTGGGAAATTATTTTGAAGTCTTTTGAAGTAATACAAAGAGAAGTCATGAGAAGCAAGAGATTAAGTAGAAAGTTTTTCCTTCTAAGACAAGAGACTACATCCTAACTAACCAGAGAGTGTCCTCAAATCCACGAATCTTAAGCTGTATTCAGATTCTTACTAGGATGAGACCCACTGACACAGTGGTCTTCCTCTCATCTCTCACCTCACATGCACACACATAAGTAGCATGCATTTTTCATGGAAAGAAACATGTTGTCCAGAAAGAAGTAGAATATGAGCAGAACTACTTCTTCCTCTTTAAAGTAATCTTGTATTACAAAGTGGAATAATATAATGATAGCTGCTTTGTAAAAATACTTTGATTTTCACAAGTGTTAACTCAGGGCTTGTTTTCTGATGTGTAGATGTGCAATTTAATTGCAGCATCTTCCTAGGTAACTGTTTAGGAAAATATACCTCACAAAGATTTAACTGAAAATCAACAGGTTACTGATAAGATAGTTATTTTAATAAAAACAAGCTAACCCCAAATACATTATTAAAAAAAAAAAAAAAAAAAAAAAAAAAAAAAAAAAAGTAAAAATCAGGGGAACTCTGTAAAGGAAGAAGTATTTCTTTCAACTTACCTTCTGAAAAGGTGATAACATCAGGTTAAAAAATAAAGGGACCAGTTTGTACATGCCTGAAGTGGAGTAACCACTGAATTGTTAAGATAATCATTATCCAAGTATAACCAAATCTTTTGAGATTCCACTCTTTGATGCAGGAATTTTAACTCTGAACTACTCTTTCCAGTTGCCAAAGGCAAGAGCTATGCTATCGTGCGCAGTTATTCTATCATCTATCAACTCTTAAACTGCTTAAAAAAGTATTAAAGAAATACAGCCTTTTGTTGCCACCCAATAGATCAGACTGCCCAGAATTCTATCCTACTTGGCCTCCAGAACTGGGGCAGTCACAGTTCTGCCAACTCTGGGCAAATTGTTCCAATGCCTCATCGCCCACTGATTAAAAAATTTCTTCCTAATTACAGTCTTCCAGTATTTACAGGGAGATTATAAACAACAAGGAAGACTATCTACCTTTTTTACACAAGCAGATAGTGATTGGACAAGGGGAAATGGTTTTAAACTAACTGAGGGGAGATTTCAGGGGGAAGTTTTTCACAGAGAAGGTGGTGAGGTGCTGGAACAAGCTGCCCAGAGAGGTGGTGAATGCCCCATCCCTGGAGGTGTTTAAGGCCTTCTATGATTCTATGAAAATTCTGTGGTTTTCTCCCACTGCTTCCTAAACCAACAGTATTTCCTGACTCTTCTGTTTTTCAGTAGTACACCCCATTCTCCCATCAAATCTAGTTTAAAATACTGGTGATGAGCTCTGCCATTTTGGTGCCTAGTGTATTCATCATAAGATGCAACAGATTGAGGGCCCCTTGTAGCATCTTGTCCCTCTAACTTAGCTATGGTATCCTAACCTTGTTGTGGATAGGGTTGCTATCCCCTCCTTTCCCAGTGAAACGTAATTTAAAGCCCTTTCAATGATCCCATACATCTCCTGGGCCAAATTTCTTTTCCCCCTATGACCTACTTGTACTCCATTGGGCCAGGTGCTATGTAAACTATCCCATCTTGTTTAGGATGAGAGGGTGAGGACATGCCAGCCTCCTAGAAAAAAGTGGGGACAAACCTAAGGCTGTCAGTATAAAGCTTAGGTTGGAGGGCGTATCTCTTCCCCCATGTAGGTAGTATAATGCAGAGTCTCTGTGGAAGATGCAGTTCAAGTCTGTATTCATGCAAAAATCTTCATGCCTGTATTATTTGTTTATATATGAGAAAACTTTATTCTAAAGGACTATCTCACAGAGGAATTTAATGCACAGTGTAGTGTCTAATACTGCACAAAAGCTGCAGACATGTATATTCCTAAGGATTACCTCAAAGCTACTGTTACTATGCAGTGCAGAACTGAATGTAGAAAAAAACTAATTCTTGACAATTGCTTCTGTCTCCAGGGGAAGGCCTGAACTAAGGAAGGAGCTGTATCCAAAATAATAGTGAAAGGAAAAAAAAATAAAAGGAAGAACTGAAGAATCCTCTCTGTTTAAGGCACTGAATGAGACAGAGGTTGTATGAAAGAGCAGTCGGGGTGGCAGCCTACATCCCAGCCTACTGGCACATCACTCTGCAGTTCCACCAAGTGCCCACAGCCAATCTGGCAGTTGGAACAG